CGATTGATGAATCGGTAGAATCGAAATCTCCGAGAGATAGGAATGGCCATGGAACGCATACTGCCTCAACCGCCGCCGGCGCGATTGTTGCCAACGCGAGCGTTTTCGGATACGCGCAAGGGGAAGCCAGAAGCATGGCGATAAAAGCCAGAATAGCGGTTTACAAAATCTGTTGGAGCACAGGCTGTTACGATTCCGATACTCTCCGCGTTCGATCAAGCCGTTGAAGATGGGGTCCACGTGATTTCGCTTTCCGTTGGCGCCAAGGGCTACGCGCCGCATTACTTTAGTGACAGCACTGCAATCGGAGCTTTTGGAGCAATGGAGAACGGCGTTGTCGTTTCCTGCTCCGCCGGAAATTCCGGTCCCGGTCCATTAACTGCCGGCAACATCGCGCCATGGATTCTAACGGTTGGTGCTTCCACCATTGATCGGACATTCCCGGCTGACGTGGTGTTAGGAGATGGCAGGATCTTCACAGGCGTGTCCTTGTACTCCGGTGAACCGCTCGGCGACTACAAACTTCCGCTGGTCTACGGTGGCGATGCCAACAGCACTTACTGTAACTCCGGAGAACTCATCGCTTCCAAAGTCACCGGAAAGATCGTGTTCTGTTTGCCCGGAGGCAATCTCGACGTTGAAAAAGGATTTGCTGTAAGAGATGCCGGCGGCGTTGGAATGATCGTTGATGGGAATGTTGGATGGGGTGAACTCATTCTTGCAAGCGCACATGTGATTCCGGCGGCAAACGTCGACGAAACGGACGGAAAAAAAATCAAAGAATATATACAATCGGATCCGTCGCCAACTGCCGCAATTGTATTCAGGGGAACAGTAATCGGAACCTCGCCGTCGGCGCCCCGCGTAGCGTCTTTCTCAAGCCGCGGCCCGAATCTCAGAACACTTGAAATTTTAAAACCTGACGTCATCGCTCCGGGGGTTAACATCTTAGCGAGTTGGACCGGCGGGAACAGCCCGTCGGAAGCAGAGTTGGACCAGAGACGGGTAGAATTTAACATCATCTCCGGCACGTCCATGGCGTGTCCCCACGTCAGCGGTTTGGCTGCTTTGCTTAGAAAAGCTCATCCAACATGGAGCCCAGCCGCCATCAAATCCGCACTCATGACAACTGCTTACACCGTCGATAATGCCGGAAACAATTTTATCGATCAAGCCGCCGGCGAGCAATCCGTCCCGTATATTCATGGAGCCGGCCATGTAGACCCGAATAGAGCATTGGATCCGGGTTTGGTTTACGATCTGGGAGTGAGTGATTACGTGGCCTTCTTATGTACCATCGGATATGACATACATCAAATATCCCTGTTCGTAAAGGATTCCTCCACAATAAATTGCGGCGTGCAGAATCTGGGCACACCCGGATCTCTAAACTACCCAGCATTTTCAGTTATTTTTTCGGACCAAAACGAGGTAAAATACCGGAGATCAGTTAAAAATGTCGGGAGCGAAATATATGCTGTTTATGAGGTCAAAGTGAATACTCCATTAGGGGTAGATGTAAGCGTATCACCAACCAAATTAGTGTTCGATGAGACGACTGATACGCTGTCATACGAAATAACTTTTATCAATGCTCGCTCAGGAAGCTATGATAACTCATATGGGTCAATTGTTTGGGAAGATGGGGTGCACGTTGTTAGTAGCCCAATAGCCGTTCTTTGGAAAAATGCAGCACGATCTGCACTTTAAATGTATGCAAAAATGGACCAGTATAACCTATGTATTAAAATAAATCCACTGTACAAATTATTGTGGACTATCTATTAATGAATAATGATGGTTATGCAAAATCATTTTTATTTATTTCATATTATTTTCTAAAATATATTACATTTATTTTTATTTTTATGTTATTTTTATCTGATGATATTACATAGTTTAATTAATTACAAAAATAATAGGCCAAAGTTTTTTATTTGTTTATCGAATAATTTTTTTCCTTAGAAAAAATATAGGTATATTTTTTTTATAAGTTAAAACTTAAAAACAAAACCAATCTCCACCATGCATGCAAAGATTTTTGATCCGCAAATAACTTTGATGAATATTGGATATCGGAAATGAAGCTTATCCACCGCTTCCTCCGCCATCTCCGGTGCCGTTCCGCCGTATAAAAAGCCTCCAAACATCACCGTTCAATTCACCCTTTGGCCGTGCAGTATTTCTCTATACTTTTTTTCCTTTCTCCATTGTTTTAGAGAAATACTGCCATAACAAAGGATCGGAAAGCAACAATAATGGCCAACCAGGTTGTTGTTTTTGCTCTCCTATTCGTCGCCGTTGCCGGAATGGCCTCGGCCGCCAGCTCCCCGAGCAGCACCGCGTCATCTTCTCCTTCCGCCGCCCCAGCTGGCGCACCGAAGAAAGCTACCGGTGCTACGGCAGGCGCACCAAAGAAAGCTAGCGGTGCTCCCGATGCAGCCTCTCCGTTGGCGGGCAGCCCATTGGCCGGATCTTCGTCGGAATCCCCCGCTGCCGCCTCACCTAAGACTGGATCCTCGGCAGGCTCCCCCGCCGGATCCCACGAAGCGGAGCCCTCATCACCTCCATCCCCAGCCAGCGCCGGCAGCCCAGCAGCTGATGAGGTTTCCGATTCTCCTGCTGAGGCACCCGTAGATGACTATGACAGCGGCGCCGCAGCTTTAAAGATCTCTGCTGCTCTCGGAGCTGCTGCCGTTGCCGGATTCTTCTTCTAGATCCCGTGAAATCTTAAAGAACTAAAATGCCAACCAAAAATAAAATAAAAAAAAGTTCCATACTACGTTGTTATTAGGCATAAATTCTTACACTCTAAGGTGGTGACTCCATTGTCAAGTACTGATGAGGCTCAAGTTTACGGCTACTATTCTCCGGCAAACGGCGACATTATTCTTATTATAATCCCCTAGTATCCACTTTATGGATGTTAGTTGGATCATGAACTCTTGTGTTTCAATGATAAAAGAAATACAACTTATTATCACATGGCATGCAATTGTTGGTGTGAGAATTTTTTTACTTTCAATTTACTTACTAGGTGTTCAAACTCTTAATTGAATCATAATCACTAGGTGTTCAAACTCTTAACTGAATCATAATCTTCCAATCTAACTTTACTCATGAAATTAATTAGTTTGAATGTTATCAAGAATCAAACTTTTTAAACTTCTAGTACGAATTGAACATGGGGTGCACATTGTTAGTAGCCCAATAGCTGTTTTTTGCCTATATGAGAATCAGATCAATCCGCAAATGTATGCAAAAATGGGCCTACTATAACCCATGTATTGAAATGAATCCACTATATAGCCAATCGTTATGTTATGCATCCGTATGGATGCAAAAACGACGTCGTTAACTAAAAAAAAAAAAAAATTAGAATTGCATAACTACACATCCATAATTTCATAACTATACATCCAGAATTACATAACTACACATCTATAATTTCATAACTATAAATCTAGAATTGCATAACTACACATCTAACTATACCTCCATAACTTCATAACTATAAATCCAGAATTGCATAACTATACATCCATAACTTCATAACTACACATCCAGAATTGCATAACTATACATCCATAATTTCATAACTATAAATTCAGAATTGCATAACTATACATCCATAACTTCATAACTATAAATTCAGAATTGCATAACTACACATCCAGAATTATAACTATACATCCAGAATTTCATAACTAAAAATCCATAATGAATGAACTAAAAAATGAATAACATAATGTTGTTGCTGGGGATCGAAACTGTTTTTTTTTTTTTTTTTTAAGTAGGACGCGCGCTATTATGCAAAGTCGTTTTTGAATACGGATGCACAGCATAATTTGCCACAAATAATGATGGTTATGAAAAATCATTTTTATTTATTTCATATTATTTTCTTTAATTTATTAATATTAAACAAATCAATTTGTTACTTAAATTTAAAAAGTAGTGATGGTTATGCAAAATTATTTTTAATTCTTTATTATTTTCTTTTATATATTTGAATATAATTATTATCATTTTAAAATTGAACAAGTTCACTTGTTTGAAACTGCCAATGACCTTGTAGTCTAGTGGCAAGTGACTCTCAATTTTATTGGGGTTTTACTTCATGCAATTTTAGTATTTTTGTTGGCCCTGCTTGATAATTTATCTCTAAAAAGAAACCCGGTATGCGCGCTTAAATGAATTTTTGACTTTTTTTTTTCTTTTCTTTTGATGTTAGCGTTTTTTTTCTTTGCTTCTTCTCTCCTCCTCCCTCTCTTTCTTACATGGAATGACAAAAATCACTAAAAAAAAAAAAAAAACTAAGACTAGTGTGGATGCAATGATGCATGTTAGATCTAAATAATTTAACGATACAGAATAATGATCTACGAGAAACCTGACCTCGTAGTAACGGAAGCGTCTGTGTTGCATCTCGAACGGTAGATCGTTAACTTTTTTTTATTCCATACTTGACTCAGAACCACGGATGATACGGTGTGTTGCATCTCAAACGGTAGATCGTTAACTTTTTTTACTCCATACTTGACTCAGAACCACGGATAATACGGTGTATTGGTGCCTACTAAGGAGTCAATGTTTATATTAGGCCAAAGTTTTTTTTATTGGAGTCTATCGATGATATTACATACTTTAATTGATTAAAAAAATAATAGGCCAAAGTTTTTTATTTCTTTATCGAATAATTGTTTTCCTTCTCAAAAATATAGGTATATTCTATTTTGTTTTTGTTAGTTAAAACAAACCATGCATGCAAAGATTTTTGATCCGCAAATAACTTTGATGAATATTGGATATCGGAAATGAAGCTTATCCACCGCTTCCTCCGCCATCTCCGGTTCCGTTCCGCCGTATAAAAAGCCTCCAAACATCACTGTTCAATTCACCCTTTGGCCGTGCAGTATTTCTCTATACTTTTTTTTTTTTTTCTTTCTCCATTGTTTTAGAGAAATACTGCCATAACAAAGGATCGGAAAGCAACAATAATGGCCAACCAGGTTGTTGTTTTTGCTCTCCTATTCGTCGCCGTTGCCGGAATGGCCTCGGCCGCCAGCTCCCCGAGCAGCACCGCGTCATCTTCTCCTTCCGCCGCCCCAGCTGGCGCACCGAAGAAAGCTACCGGTGCTCCTGCAGCATCACCGGCAGGCGCACCAAAGAAAGCTAGCGGTGTTTCCGATGCAGCTTCTTCGTCGGCGGGCAGCCCATTGGCCGGATCTTCGTCGGATTCCCCCGCTGCCGCCTCACCTGAGACTGGATCCTCGGCAGGCTCCCCCGCCGGATCCCACAAAGCGGAGCCCTCATCACCTCCATCCCCAGCCAGCGCCGGCAGCCCAGCAGCTAATGAGGTTTCCGATTCTCCTGCTGAGGCGCCCGTAGATGACTATGACAGCGGCGCCGCAGCTTTAAAGATCTCCGCTGCTCTCGGAGCTACTGCCGTTGCCGGATTCTTGTTCTAGATCCCCTGAAATCTTAAAGAACTAAAATGCCAACCAAAAATTTAAAAAAAAAAAAAAAAAAAAAAAAAGTTCCATACTACGTTGTTATTAGACATAAATTCTTTAACACTCTGAGGCGGTGACTCTATTGTCAAGTACTGATGAGGCTCAAATTTACGGCGACTATTCTCCGGCAAACGGCGACATGATTCTTATTATAATCCCCTAGTATCCACTTTATGGATGTTAGTTGGATCATAAACTCTTGTGTTTCAATGATAAAAGAAATACAACTTATCACTTGCCATGCAATTGTTGGTGTGACAATTTTTTTTACTTTCAATTTACGTGAAAGGTGTTGACAATAATCAAACTCATAACTGAATCATAATCTTCCATAAAATTAATTAGTCTGAATAATTGTCAGGAATCAAACTTTTTAAACTTTTAGTACGAAAATGATGCTCTAACAACCCCTGCCAACTTTTTTGAATAGAATGATATTATTATAAGCTTCAACTTTAGAGCAAGTGATTAATTTAATTGTTCCGATCAGTTGGGTCTCCGCAGCAAAACCGACCACTTCGTTCACACAAGCTAGCTCAGACAAGGTGAAGTGGACGACTGGACGGTGGATTATATTTTGCGGCATTCTCGACGACTACTTCAAACTATGCTCTAGACAGAGCTCCATAATCTTATCTTAAATATAGTTAATTAACACTAACAATATAATATGTATATTATTGTTTCATTTTTCCAATTAAAGGATTAAGAAATTTTTGATGATGTGATAGCCTAAATGCATATTACCTTACCGGCTGGTCGGTGCTTGCAATGCAGAAACCTTTTAATCTACCGTTTTATCTTTTTCTTGTTTTGTCAACTTCTCATCTTTCCCATAAACATAAAGTTCACTTTAGTTGACACTAGTAGAGCAAAAAAGGATCATCATACTAATTTTACAGATATGACATTAATTGATTAATACAACATCGTACATGGTTTGTGTTTGTCACTGCCAAATAATTGTAAATTTAACGGCCTTAATAAACGACGCTCCCCATATATATATAAAAACCCCCGTTTGGGTGGAGAGGAATCGAAACCGACAACCTTAACTTCTGGGTCGAGATCGAAAGCTAAGCATGGCTCTTGCGAATGAATTCTGGGGTTTATCTGTGATGGACAAGACGAAGATGAAGACGAAGGCAGGTTCATTCCTTTCTTCATCGAGTGGGATGGTGAATCTTGAGAACCGGGTTCACGTGAACCGGCTGCGTTTGAAGAGGGGCGTGAGGATCGCTCCAATGGCGTCTGTCAGCGTTGAGCAGAGAGTGTTTAAGATGGTTCCTGAGAAAGCGGTGAAGTTTAAGGTCAGAGCTGTGGTGACTGTGGGGAACAAGAAGGAGGCAGGGTTTAAGGAGGCTTTGATCAAACGTTTTGATGCTTTCACTGATCAGTTGGGAAGGAATGTTGTGTTGGAGCTTATCAGCACAGAAATTGATCCTAGTAAGTTCATTCCTATACACAATGTTACTTTCGTGTTCTGGTGTGGTTTGTTTTCTGAGATAGAATCGAAACTTTTTTGTTTTTGCAGAAACCAAGGGTCCGAGGAAGAGTGAACCGGCGGTGTTGAAGGACTGGGCGGTTAAAACTGGGATGAAAACAGAGACAGTTAATTACAGTGTTGAGTTTGAATTGGACACCAATTTTGGGTGTCCAGGTGCTATAACGGTGGTTAACAAACATCAACAAGAATTCTTTCTTGAAAAGATTACTGTTGAAGGGTTCTCTAGTGGTCCGGTTCATTTCCCCTGCAGTTCATGGGTTCAGTCCAAGAAAAACTATCCCAGAAAGAGGATTTTCTTCTCCAATAAGGTATATCTGCTTACTTTTTCTTGCTTTTCTTCGGGTTCTTCTCTTTTCGTTAGCGTCGGTGATGACCCCAACAATTTTTTTTTTTTTTTCCTTCACCCTACCGCTGCAATGTACATTTTTATTAATTCGTACATGATCTTAACTTGTAAAATACATTATTCTAACTCATAAAATATATAAGTACATTATTATAATTCATAATATTCAATGATGTTATTTTGGACTGTGGTCCACACAATTATATAATGCACGATCACACAATAATTTGCCGTGATAACTCGAGTTAGGCATATGGTGGTTAAAGAAGGCAATTTATATTGTGGACCAAGGTCCACCACTATGTACCCTGGTCTAATACACAGAAATTGACTTCATAATGTTCATAATGTACAAAATTTATGTTCATAATACATACACATAAATACGATATAATGAAGACACATAAACACTTAACATTCGCAGAATTCATATTCATAATGTACAGAATTCATGTTCATCATAACATGTTTATATGTATGTGTATTATGAACATAAATTCTATGTATCATATATGAACATGAATTCTGTACATTATGTAGTCAAATTATGTGTATTGACATGGTCCACGATATAACGATTGGGCTAAGAAAACAAAACTAAAGTGAAAAGAAAGAGCTTTTTTTAAAGAAGGTTTGAAAAGTTAGGAAATGGTGAAATAAAGGGCATCATGATTTGTGGTAATGTTGATGGGATATGCACTAATTTTTGGTAGTCTAAAGTAGCCAACGAAGCATTCCATGTTGTTAAAGTGCATTTCATTTCAAACACGTTTTCCATGTTTGGTTAGGGACATTGAAATCTGGGATAGTTTTGTTTGAGTAGTAATAATAATAATAATCGAAATGATGTTTGGGTTTTTGATTGGCAGCCATACTTGCCTCATGAGACACCTGAAGGTTTGAAAGCGTTAAGGGAGGAAGAGCTCAAAGATTTAAGGGGAGATGGCAATGGCCCCCGGCAATTACATGACCGGATTTACGATTTCGATGTGTACAATGATCTGGGGAATCCTGATAAGGGTATTGATTTTGTTCGTCCCACGCTCGGCGGTGAAGCCATTCCTTATCCTCGGCGTTGTCGGACTGGTCGCCCGCCATGTATCACTGGTGCGTTTTTGTTCTCTGTTTTCTGTTTTCGTACAAATTTTGATTTGGTTAATGATGTTTTATTGATGTGGTTTGTTTAGACCCGAGTTGTGAGAGGCGATTGGAGAAGCCTGCACAAATGTATGCTCCAAGGGACGAGCAATTCGAGGATCCAAAGCGCGATGCTTTTCTGAGTGCGAGGCTGAGGGGAACAATGCACAATTTACTTCCAGGGTTACAGGCGAAACTGTCGGAGAAGAACATGGATTTTCAAGGTTTCCAGGATCTTGACAGCATTTACAGTGAAACCCTCTTTAACAAGCTGGGAATTAAGGAAGATGTCGTGGAGAAACTCCCACTGCCCAAAATCGTCCACAAGTTCAAAGACGCCGACGTTTTCAAGTTCAACATTCCCACCATCCTCGGAAGTAATCCCAATCCCACCATTCTTCTTTAAACCTTTTTCTGTTTCTGGGTCTTACTTTACTCTGTTCTGTCATTTAATTTCTCAGAGGATAAGCTGGCGTGGCTGCGAGACGGCGAGTTTGCCAGGCAAATGTTAGCAGGGATCAGTCCCGGCCATATCGAACGGCTTCGGGTTTTTCCTCCGGTCAGCAATCTTGATCCGGCGGCGTACGGGCCGCTGGAATCTGCGCTCAAAGAAGACCACATTCTTCCTTATCTTAACGGGATGAGTGTCCAAGAAGCCCTGGATTCAAACAAGTTGTACATTGTGGATTATCACGACGTGTATTTGCCGTTTGTTGATCGGATTAATGCCCTTGACGGCCGTGCAATTTATGCTACCCGGACCATATTTTTCCTGACGGATAATGAAACGCTTAAACCAATTGCTATAGAGCTTTGCCTCCCGGCCAACGGCCCTGTTTCCCGGTCGAAACGGGTCGTCACGCCGGACGGCAATGCAACCTCGTTTTGGATGTGGCAGATAGCTAAAGCTCATGTCTGGGCAAATGATGCCAGTGTTCATCAACTTATTCACCATTGGTAAACCTTATCACACACAACTATAATTAATTCGAGATAAATTAATTGAAGCATGTGTTCCATCTTAACTAAAAGTTTAACCTGATAGTTGGATTGCATATTAATGTGGCTTTGATACCAAATTGAAGTATGTGCTCCATCTCAACTAAAAGCCTAAGCTGATAGTTGATTGCATGATTATATGCTCAACAAACTGTTAGAAGTTGTAGTTTGTCTTTGAGATTAATGGATTTTTGTTTGATAAATGCAGGTTGCGGACCCATTCGTCCATGGAACCTTTCATTCTATCTGCACATAGACAATTAAGTGCGATGCATCCAATCTACAAGCTTCTTGATCCGCACATGAGATATACGCTGGAAATCAACGCCTTGGCTCGTCAGACTTTGATCAATAATGAGGGCGTTGTTGAATCTTGCTTCACTCCCGGGCGTTATGCGATGCAGATTAGCGCGGCGGCTTACAAGAGTTTCTGGCGATTCGACCTTGAAAATCTCCCGGCGGACCTGATTCGAAGAGGAATGGCGGTGGCGGACCCGACGCAGCCGCACGGGCTAAAGCTTCTGATCGAGGATTATCCGTACGCGGCGGATGGGCTGTTGGTTTGGGAGGCGATTCAGAAGTGGGTCACGACTTACGTGAACCATTACTACCCAGATTCCGACGGGGTCTGCAACGATCGGGAGCTTCAGGCGTGGTATTCCGAGGCAGTCAACGTCGGCCACGCCGACCTGCGTAATGCGGAGTGGTGGCCCACTTTAGAATCTCCGGCGGATTTGGCTTCCATTCTCACCACCATCATTTGGCTATGTTCCGCCCAGCACGCCGCGCTAAATTTCGGGCAGTATCCCTACGGTGGGTACCTGCCGAACCGGCCGACGCTGATGCGGCGATTAATCCCCGACGAGAACGACCCGGAGTACGCCGTGTTCGTCTCCGACCCGCAAAAGTACTTCTTCAAGGCGCTGCCGAGCAAGCCGGACGCGACGAAGCTGATAGCCGTCGTGGATACACTGTCTACTCATTCCCCGGACGAGGAATACTTGGGAGAGAGACCGCATCCTTCGACGTGGACGTCGGACGCTGCCATGGTTGAGGCGTTCTTTGAATTCTCGGCGGATATTGGTCAGATTGAGGAGGAGATTGATAGCCGGAACCGCAACCCGAGCCTGAAGAATAGGTGCGGTGCCGGCGTTATACCTTATGAACTTCTTGCTCCGAGCTCCGGTCCCGGGGTTACATGTAGAGGTATTCCCAACAGCGTCACTATCTAATTGTTCTATATATAAATCTAATCATGAATGTAACTATGCAAGTTTATTTTGTGTGGACAATATAATGTTGAATATGATGTATCTATGCTTATTTATGGTTTTATCTATGTGTTTTTCTGTAAAAGTGAATGTTTATGTGATTCAAACTCTTATCATTTTTATTTTGGTAAAATTTATGACTATTTTTGTACTCACACGGGATCAACTCGAAGGGTCACCTTGAAAACATTTTATAAAAAGTTGATTCACTTTTGATATATTAATTTATGTGGATATTACTTTTGATTTGATTCAGGTTGAAATATATAGATTTGAATTCTCCTAGATGAAAGACTTCAAAGTAATATTTTTTTCACATTAAAAAAATAAATGGGATTGCATATTCACAATTCATCTTTTTTAAGAAGTTTAAATTGTTAATTAAGAGGTTCTATCTTGCTAATCTACTACATTGTACTATTGTCAGTAGTACTATATTAATCAACACCATGTACTCAGATGTCATGTTGTGATTGAGCCTTATGGAGGCGGTGTTGACTCTTTGTGATTTAACAGGTTGAGAAAGTATAGATGAACAAATATTACAATGTAATAGAGTCCATAGCTTTCAAAAATAAAATTAAATTAAAGGAGATATTAAGAAATAAATAAAAATGATTTTGCATAACCATCATTATTTATGAATAGATAGTCCACAATAATTTGTATAGTGAATTTATTTCAATACATGGGTTATACTAGGCCCTTTTTTTCATACATTTAAAGTGCAGATCGAGCTTCATTTAGCTAAAGAACGGCTATTGGGCTTCTAACAATGTGCACCCCATCTTCCCAAGCAATTGACCCATATGAGTTAACAAATCTCACTGGTTGAGCATTTGTAAAAGTTATTTCGTACGATAGTGTATCAGTCATCTCATTAAACACTAATTTGGTTGGTGATACACTTACATGTACCCCTAAGGAGCATTCACTTTGACCTCATAAACAACATGTTTTTCACTCCCCACATTTTTAACTTATCTCTTGTATTTTACCTCGTTTTGGTTTGAAAAAACAACTGAAAATGCGGGGTAATTTAGAGACCCGGGTGTGCCAAAATTCTGCACGCTGCAATTCACTGTGGAGGGATCTTTTACGAACAGGGATATTTGATCTATGTTGTATCCAATGGCACATAAGAAGGCCACGTAATCACTCACTCCCATATCGTAAACCAAACCGGGATCTAGCGCTCTATTCGGGTCAACATGGCCGGCTCCGTGAATATACGGGATGGATTGATTGCCGCTGGCTTGATCGATAAAATTGTTTCCGGCATTGTCGACGGTGTAAGCAGTTGTCATGACTGCGGATTTGATGGCGGCGGGGCTCCATGTTGGATGAGCTTTTCTAAGCAGGGCAGCCAGGCCGCTGACGTGGGGACACGCCATGGACGTGCCGGAGATGATGTTAAATTCTACCCGTCTCTTGTCCATCTCCGATTCCGATGGGCTCCTCGCGCCGGTCCAACCCGCTAAGATGTTAACCCCCGGAGCGATGACGTCAGGTTTTAAAATTTCAAACGTTAAGAGATTCGGGCCTCGGCCTGAGAAAGATGCTACGCGGGGGGCCGACGGCGAGGTTCCTATTACTGTTCCCCTGAATACAATTGCTGCAGTTGGCGACGGGTGCGACTTTATATATTCTTTGATTTTGTTTCCGTCCGTTTCGTCGACGTTTACCGCCGGAATAACATGTGCTCTTGCAACAATGAGTTCACCCCAACCAGCGTTCCCATCAACGATCATTCCAACGCCGCCGGCTTCTCTTACAGCAAATCCTTTATCAACGTCGAGATTGCCTCCGCGCTCACAGAAGACGATCTTTCCGGTGACTTTGGAAGGGATGAGTTCTCCGGAGTTACAGTAAGTACTGTTGGCATCGCCACCGTACACCAGCGGAAGTTTGTTGTCGCCGAGCGGTTCACCGGAGTACAAGGACATGCCAGTGAAGATCCTGCCATCTCCTAATACCACGTCAGCCGGGAATGTCCGATCAATGGTGGAAGCACCAACCGTTAGAATCCATGGCGCGACGTTGACGGCAGTGAATGGACCGGGACCGGAATTTCCGGCGATGCTGGAGACGACAACGCCGTGCTCCATTGCACCAAAAGCTCCGATTGCAGTGCTGTCACGGAAGTACTGCGGCGCGTAGCCTTTGGCGCCAACGGAAAATGAAATCACGTGGACCCCATCTTCAACGGCTTGATCGAACGCGGAGAGAATATCGGAATCGTAACAGCCTGAGCTCCAACAGATTTTGTAAACCGCTATTCTGGCTTTTATCGCCATGCCTCTGGCTTCCCCTTGCGCGTATCCGAAAAGGCTCGCGTTGGCAACAATGGAGCCAGCGGCGGTTGAGGCAGTATGCGTTCCATGGCCTACCGTATCTCTCGGAGATTTCGATTCTACCGATTCATCTATCGGACTTCCCTTAGCAGCTTCGTAGCCTTTGTAGTAAGCACGAGCGCCGATGATTTTCCGATTACACAAACTCTCCGGAAAGTCTGTACTATTCTCGCACTTGCCCTTCCAGCTGGAGGGAACGGGGGATAGACCCTCGTCGGAGAAGCTAGGCCTCTCCGGCCAGATTCCAGAGTCGAGAACCCCCACTATAACATCATCTCCATAATCAGAGCTTGGCCAGATGCCAGATGATTCAGCTAAGCCTAAAAACTCAGGGGAGTGGGTAGTGTGGAGCTGGCGGGCTTGATCCGGCAGGACGGAGATCACGCCGGGGATGTTTCGCAGTTCAGACGCCTGGGAAGGCGTCAGGCGAGCGGAAAAGCCGTGAGCGACGCGGTCATAGGTGTACAAGAGCTGAGATGGGTGGTGAGAGAGAGGAGAAAGGCGGTGGATGATGGAGGAATACCAGTCATTATGGGTGGAGAAAAGATGGGGCTTCTTGGATTTTGACATGAAGACGATAAAGGTCTCCTGATTCTCCGATGAGGTGGAGAGCTCGACTGAAACAAGGCATAAGAATATGAGAAGGAAGGTGTAAGCAAAAGAGGGAGTCGCCATTGATGTGGATTGTGGAGGTGAGTATGAATTATCATTACAAAAAAAGCTCTATTTATAGGCTCTGAACGCGGAAGTGATTCTACAAAAATCACCATGTAGAAGAGTCACATTTATATTGTTGGATCACAAGGTATGTGTCTATTATATTTATGTATAATGCATTAAACATGTGAATGAAATTAACATATTATGTGTTTTCAATTTATTAAGTGTACATAATTTGTTAACTAGAAACACATAAAGGACTGTTTACTAACTAAAAAAATTTTAAATTTTTAAAAAATTTAAGAATTAGAAAATATGAAACATAAAACATGTTTACTAGCATAATTTTAAAATTTGAAAACTAAAAAAAATTATAAATTGTTTTCTAAATGAAAAAACAAAATAATCTTTCATCTGTTTGGCTATATATATGAGGCCGTCTTACAAGAGTTTCTGGCGATTCGATCTTGAGAATCTCCCGGCAGACCTTATTCGAAGAGGAATGGCGTGGCAGACCCGATGCAGCCGCACGGGCTAAAGCTTCTGATCGAGGATTATCCGTACGCGGCGGATGGGCTCTTGATTTGGAAGGCGATTCAGAAGTGGGTAACCACTTACGTGAACCATTACTACCCAGATTTCGACGGGGTCTGCAAAGACTGGGAGCTTCAGGCGTGGTATTCCGAGGCAGTCAACGTCCGCAAATTATGCTGTACAACAGTGTGCACCATGCAAAAATGACGTCGTTTGGACTAAAAATGTACGTCCCACTTAAAAAAAATCATGTTCGATTCCTAGCAATAGCATTTTTTGGGGCATAATTTGAATTATATATCCACAAATTCATAACTATATATTCACAAATTCATAACTATATATCCACAGTGAATGAATAACAAAAAACCCAAAATGAATGAACTAAATATCCAAAATGAATTAACTAAATATCCACAATAAATAAACTAAATATCCATAAATTCATAACTATATATCCACAATAATTCATAAGTATATATCCACAATAATGTTGTTGAGGGGAATTGAAACTGATTTTTTTTTTTTTTAAATGTGACGCGCGTTTTTAGTCAAAACGACATCGTTTTGCATCCGTGTGCACAATGCGGGTCACCTCGAAAACATTTTATGAAAAGTTGATTCGCTTTTGATGTATTAATTTATGTGGATATTACTTTTGATTTGAGTCACGATGAAATATATAGATTTGAATTCTCCTAGATGAAAGATTTCAAAGTTACATTTTTTCTCACATTAAAAAAATAAATGGGATTGCATACTCATAATTCATCTTTTTAAAGAAGTTTAAATTGTTAATTAAGAGGTTCTATTTTGCTAATCTACTATATTGTACCAGAGTCAGTAGTATTATATTGACAAGCACTTTGTGCTCAGATGACATGTTGTAACTCTCTCATATGGGAGGTAATGAGATTGAGCTTCAATGGAGGCGGTGTTAACTCTTTATGCTTTAACAGATTGAGAAAGTATAGATAAACAGATACTACCATGCATAATCATCATTATTTATTAATAGATAGTTCACAATAATTTGTATAGTGAATTTATTTCAATACATGGGTTATACTAGGCCTATTATTTATTAATAGATAGTCCACAATAATTTGTATAGTGGATTTATTTCAATACATGGGTTATACTAGCCCCATTTGTTCATACATTTAAAGTGCAGATCGAGCTTCATTTAGCTAAAGAACAGCTATTGGGCTTTTAACAATGTGCACCCCATCTTCCCAAGCAATTGACCCATATGAGTTAAGAAATCTCGCCGGCTGAGCATTTGTAAAAGTTATTTCGTACGATAACATATCAGTCGTCTCATTAAACACTAATTTGGTTGGTGATACGCTTACCTGTACTCCTAAGGGAGCATTCACTTTGACCTCATAAACAGCCCGTTTTTCACTCCCGACATTTTTAACCGATCTCTTGTATTTTACCTGATTTTTATATAAAAAATCAAGTGAAAATGCTGGGTAGTTTAGAGACCCGGGTGTGCCCAGATTCTGCTCGCTGCAATTTACTGTGGACGGATCCTTTACGAACACGGATAATTCATCCATGTTGTATGCAATGGTACATAATAAGGCCACGTAATCACTCACTCCCAGATCGTAAACCAAACCCGGATCAAGCGCTCTATTCGGGTCAACATGGCCGGCTCCGTGAATAAACGGGTTGGATTGATTGCCGGTGGCTTGATCGATTAAATTGTTTCCGGCATTGTCGATGGTGTAGGCAGTTGTCATGAGTGCGGATTTGATGGCGGCGGGGCTCCATGTTGGATGAGCTTTTCTAAGCAGGGCAGCCAAGCCGCTGACGTGGGGACACGCCATGGACGTGCCGGAGATGATGTTAAATTCTACCCGTCTTTGGTCCATCACCGATCCCGACGGGCCAATCGCGCCGGACCAACCCGCTAAGATGTTAACTCCGGGAGCGATCACGTCAGGTTTTAAAATTTCAAATTGTAAGGGATTCGGGCCTCGGCTTGAGAAAGACGCTACGCGGGGCGCCGACGGCGAGGTTCCGATTACTGTTCCCCTGAATACAATTGCGGCGGTTGGGGACGGGGCCGAGTTTATATATTCTTTGATTTTGTTTCCGTCCATTTCGTCGACGTTTGTCGCCGGAATCACATGTGCGCTTGCATAAATGAGTTCACCAGTTCCAGCCGTCCCATCAACGATCATTCCAACGCCGCCGGCTTCTCTTACAGCAAATCCTTTATCAACGTCGAGATTGCCTCCGCGCTCACAGAACACGATCTTTCCGGTGACTTTGGAAGCGATGAGTTCTCCGGAGTAACAGTAAGTGCTGTTGGCATCGCCACCGTAGACCAGCGGAAGTTTGTTGTCGCCGAGCGGTTCACCGGAGTACAAGGACATGCCAGTGAAGATCCTGCCATCTCCTAACACCACGTCAGCCGGGAATGTCCGATCAATGGTGGAAGCACCAACCGTTAGAATCCATGGCGCGACATTGGTGGCAGTCCTTGCACCGGGACCGGTATTTCCGGCGACGGTGGAGACGACAACGCCGTGCTCCATTGCTCCAAAAGCTCCGATTGCAGTGCTGTCACGGTAGTAATCCTCCGGGTAGGCTCTGGGGATGGCAACGGAAAGCGAAATCACGTGGACGCCATCTTTTACAGCTTGATCGAAGGCAGATAGGATATCGGAATCGTAACAGCCTAAGCTCCAACAGATTTTGTAAACCGCTATTCTGGCTTTTATCGCCATGCCTCTAGCTTCCCCTTGCGCGTATCCAAAAAGGCTCGCGTTGGCAACAATGGAGCCGGCGGCGATTGAGGCCGTATGCGTTCCATGGCCATTCCTATCTCTCGGAGATTTCGGTTCTACCGATTCATTTATCGGACTTCCCGTAAAAGCTTCGTAGCCTTTGTAGAAAGCACGAGCGCCGATGATTTTCCGATTACACAAAGTGTCCGGAAAGTCTGCACTATTCTCGCACTTGCCCTTCCAGCTGGAGGGAACGGGGGATAGACCCTTGTCGGAGAAGCTGGGCCTCTCCGGCCAGATTCCAGAGTCGAGAACCCCCACTATAACATCATCTCCATAATCAGAGCTTGGCCAGAGGCCAGACGATTCAGTTAAGCCTAAAAACTCAGGGGAGTGGGTGGTGTGGAGCTGGCGGGCTTGATCCGGCAGGACGGAGATCACGCCGGGGATGTTTCGCAGTTCAGACGCTTGGGAAGGCGTCAGGCGAGCGGAAAAGCCGTGAGCGACGCGGTCATAGGTGTACAAGAGCTGAGATGGGTGGTGAGAGAGAGGAGAAAGGCGGTCGATGATGGAGGAATACCAGTCATTATGGGTGGAGAAAAGATGGGGCTTCTTGGATTTCGACGTGAAGACGATAAAGGTCTCCTGGTTCTCCGATGAGGTGGAGAGCTTCACTGAAACAAGGCATAAGAATATGAAAAGGAAGGTGTAAGCAAAAGAGGGAGTCGCCATTGATGTATGTGGAGGTGAGTGTGCATTGAAGTTGTTATAAATAAAGCTCTATTTATAGGCTCTGAACGCCTAAGTCATTCTACAAAAATCTAAAAATTATGTATCTAAATAATTAATAAAATATGTGTATACTACAAATAATATATTATGTATATGCAGTACATGTAAATGAAATTAACATATTATGTATTTTTAATTTATTAAATGCACATAATTTGTTAACTAGACACACATAAGGTCCATTTACTAACTAGAGAATTTTTTAATTTTTTGAAAAATTGAAGATTTAGAGAATATAAAACAGAAAACATGTTTACTAGTACAATTTTAAATTTTGAAAACTAAAAAACTTTTGAAAATTGTTTTCTAAATGAAAAAACAAAATTATCTATCATCTATTTGACTATATATCACTATAAGTCTATAACTACATTCTCACCATTATTACCTACTTACATATTTATTCATTACTATGATTACTTTCTTTATCATCTTCTTTTACTTATCACCGTATTCTATCTTTTCTACTCGCATTTACTTATATAAAGATAACTTATTTGATTACGCTAAGTTATATATTACTCATATTATCAAAATCAAAACTTGATATCTACATACACCAAGTTTTAGATTTTTATTGAACTCAGTAGATTATCGGTTCAGATATTTTTAGTTATGTTATATCGTAATGCAAGTTTTGTTTTTTTTTTTAGTATGTCCAACTATGGTAGGGAAACATATCTTCATTATTTAGTTGGGCATTAATTGGAACCAAAAATTGATTATTTAATATGTCCAACTAATGATGGGGATTATGTCTTTATTTGGTAGTTGGTCAAATCAATTATGGGTATGTATATTATTAAATTCACTTTATTAATGTCGCTAAAGAATATCTTAATCAGTGGGAGTAATCATTTAGAAAAAGATCATTAAGTTACTCCACTAAAGATTAATTCCTTTAATGATATAGTAAGCAATATAGTTGATATTGAACTTTCACATATATTAGACTTCAAAATATGTGTGTGTGCGTATGTGTGTGTAGGCTAAAAAAAAAAAGATTAATATTGTCTAAACTAAATTTTATGTGAACTTAATATGTTACTGGTTCATACATCAAATGTAAAAATCTTACATATATTTGACTTAAAAGTAAAAATATAATTATATTTATTCTTTTTTTTTAAAAAAGCACAAAGAGCGAATAACGCCTCCACTAAGACTTGATGAACTCAAAACCTCCCATATGAAAATCCAACCCAAGTGACATCTATGCACAAGGTGCTTGTCTTAATTATATTTATTCTATTTAAATAAGCACATTTAAAAATATTTTAAATATAAGGTTTAAAAATCATTTGAAATTAAACTTGTGTTACTTTTAACGTATCTAAAAAAATAAATTTGAAAAAATGAGTGTTACTAAACTAGTTTTCTAAACAGAAAAGATAGAATAGAAAACAGATAATGAAAATTAAAAAATTAGAAAACAGATGATAGTTTTTTTGAAGTAAACGAACCCAAAATATGTTAAATGATGACACATAATTTGAATGTCATTTTGGTCTAAAGTACACAATGCAAAGTAGATTCTAGTCTATGATATAATTTGCCGCATATGGTTGAAGTTTTTAGTGAGGTTTGAACCATCACCTTGATTGAGCCACTACTTTATAATTGAAAATAAGATCGATGATTGGAAGTAAGACCTAAATGTTAATTTGGACTTCGATGGGCACATCAAATCAATATTTGTGAAATGAAAAATTGAAAGAAATGTTGAATGTAAAATGTAAAATTTTGAAATACTTTTTACTAATAAAAGAAAAAGAAATAGAAGTTGAACCAACCTCGTATAATTTATGTTTCACCAATGTAGCACTTCAACTCGAAACCAAGTAGAATCAGTTGAGTGCACATACATGGAAGATCAGAGCCGTAGATCTTGTCTACTTCAACTAATTAGTAATTAGGACTTAATATTGCTCTGATAAGGACAGTAAAAAAAAAATTACTTCTCTTTGTTTTTCAGTATGGCTTGCAAGCTTGCAATAATTCCATCTTTGTCAAAGCTAAATTCATAAGAAACTTTGCATATTTACTTTCTTCCTTCAAGACATGAGAGACCTTTATAAAACCCTGGTAGGACAATAGCTTTTCATAGGGTAAAAGTATCTATGAGGTTCTTGTACTATAGCGTTTTATTCAATTTAGTCCTTATACCTTTATCTTGTTCAATTTAGTCCATTTACTTTCAAAAGTTGTGCAATTAAGGACAATAGTTAACGGTGTTAATATTATCGTTAACTTATGATACGTGACGCTAATGATATTTATATTCCTAGTCATATATTACTTTATAAATATTTAAAATTAATTATTTTTACCACTAATATATTAAATTAGTATGTCCAAAATAAATAATTACAACTATGTTCTTAATAAGATTTAGACAATTATCCTTAGTTTCACCACTTTTTAAGGTAGAGAGATTAAATTGAACAAAATAAGATAGTACAAGGACTTCATAGGTACTTTGACCCTTTTCATAGTCTTTTGGAGCCCATAGCAGTATAATCTTAACAATGAAACCAATAATTTAATTACAAACTGATTAATCAAATTAATTTGATTTGGTTAGTTAGTTAATCAGTTTTTAATCAAATTATATACACCAAGAGCATCCTAAGTCAAACAAATAAGAGGATGGTCCAACATAAGAATGCCCAAAAATAAAGAGAAAGCCTATGTGGAAATAGCCCATTAATCAACACCATAATGGGCTATGGACCTTGATTAATATGTATATGTCTAATGTTATGAGTTTTTGTGTCTTATGTTATAAAATTTTGTATTTCAAAAATATAAATTTTGTACCTTAAACAAATTAGTAATTATGTTTTATGTTATGAATTTTTGTGTCTTGTGTTATGAAATTATGTATCTATGACCATAAACTATGTATCTAAATTATATTTAAAAATTAAGTAAACATATAACATGTGTATGTGCCTTATGTTGTGATTTTTTGTGTTTGTATTATGAAATTTTGTACCTCATTGTTTCGATCTAAAATTTATAATATTATGTAGGCCTGGGTCCATGATATAAATTGTCCCGTTTGATTAGGTTTACCTAATCAGAATCTGGGATAGTCAAGTCCCAAAAATTGAGCCTACAGAAAACACATTATGTCGTTTTCGGACGTTGTGGAAGAATGTAAACACAGGCTTTTGAACAGGAAAATTGGAGGGCACTGATCTTCTCCAACACGTACGTGCATATATACTCCAACCAATAAGCAAATATTATATATACATTCTAGAACTTATGATTTGTACATTTCACTTATCCATAGAGTCCTCATTATTGAAGGTAGAAGGTTGTTAGAACATCAACTAATGAGCATTGACAATTTTGTTCGTTATTTATGGTGCCGGAATTTGTTAAGTTGTTCTGATTTTGCTTGAATATGTTACATAATATGGTTTACTTTTTAAAGTAAAAATAATATTGCGGAGATACAAACAATCTTATTTTTCTTTCAATGTATATATTGTATCAATCTATAAGAACGTTACATTCCTAAATATCATTTTCTTTCATCATTATTCACTTCTCACTATCTATACATCTTTATACTTCCTAAATCTCTTTTCCACTCCCTAAATACCTTTATATTTCCTAAATCAGATCTTCATTCGGTTAAACATTCCACTCTACCATAAATACCCAATTACCATTAGTATATTACATTACCATATGCTACTACTATTTCACTATAAAAGACCATAATCAGAGATAAGAAAACGACATCCTCCTCTTGATCTTCAACATCTCTCTATCTACTCGATCAACTTCTCTTCTTCTCAAAAATTATACACGTATTGAAATTACTGTAATAAGATTAGCAGATTTTGACTTGACATCGTTGAAAAAGACACATAATTTTTACGTTAAAAATATTGTCTCAATTATTTTTCCCTCATCTTATATATATTCTATCTATTTATCTAAACAGTTGTGTTGGTTGATCATCAACTACCTGTTAGTCATAAAACCAACACAACTCAATTTTAAAAACTTCAAGTAAAAATATTAATTGAACAACAAATAAAAAAATATATTTGCCAACAATCACAATGTGCAAAATCGGAATCTTACTAAATACTAAAAGGCATTAAATTTGCCTCATTATGAATTCAAATATATAAATATTTGAATATTAATTATTCAATAAAAACACATTTCATAATCTATCTTATCTATCCGTCTTTAGACAAAAGCCTCACTCTTACATTTAGGTTTCAAAATTCAAACTTATAAAAAAATTCAAACTTATAAGAGAAATCTCCTAATTCAACACTTCCAACTTTTGTCGGTCATTGGCGTTTGATTATTTTTATTATGAGTATTTTTTAAAAAATAATTCTTCATTGCGTGTGCTTGCAGTGTACCGTACAGGAATTTGTGTGTTCTTTGGCAACTTGCACTATTGTATACTATAGTGCACAGTATATACTATTCATACGACGAACTTTTAATATTAATTTAAACATAAATTCTTGGAAAACATAGTTTAAGATTCTGGTCAATAGTTTTAATTAATTTTTCCTGCAAGAACCAAAAATTAAATAAAAAAAAAACTCATATGCATGTTAGGGTCACAGAACCGATTTCACCCTAAACACATATTTAGATAGTAGTTGGGGATCTGGACTTTTCATAAATCAAAATAACTAGTCAATCTCCTTGTAATCATTTACTAACTATGATCACGAGATTTAAGTAGAAGTCGTAAACTTTTCCATAAATCAAAATAACTATTCAATAATTTTAATTAATTAAATTTCCATCAAGAAACAAAGAACCCATAATAGTCAATGGTCTTCGTAATCACCCATTATCTTCTTATCTTAGTTTCTGGAAACCTTGTGGAGTTGTGGACATTAGACAATGACGTTTAATGTACACACGCCTTGGGAAGAATGTTGTTGGGGAGTTTGTTACTTTTGCACTAGCTAGGCTTTAAAAGACTTATTTGTTTTTTTAAAAAAGGCTTTAAAAGACTTTGAAAAATGGGGCATATATATGCAAGTTGCAAGTCTGAATTTTATGTATATATCTCACCTACCACCTTGCAGGAGATGGCACAAGGAATCTTGAATAGAAAATATCCCCACTCCAATCATTACTCTATTGCACAGTAATTAATGAACCTTAATTAACATGATTAACAAACAAAGTAATTAATGAACCTTAATTAACATTTAATTAACATTTATTTAGTTCTATTCTATTTGGTTCACTGTATTTCGTAGGTTTTAGCTCATTCCTTAAAGTTCTGTATAGAGCTGTGTCGGAATAAACAGCAGCTAACTTCGTTCTGTGGTTGTGTCTCTCACCATGTTTGCGTCGTTGCTTGCTGTTCTCTTGTTTCTCTGCTACTTTCTTTTCATCTTCACATGGAGATTTCTCCATTGTTTCTTCCTTTTTAGCTTCATCGCCATTACTAATTGGTCCCTTTTGGCTCGTCTCCGAGGGTGCAACGTAAACAAATGTTCCAATTGGAATGTCCTTTAAGTCCAACACGGGCTCCAGCCTCTTGACCACATGGCTCATTGTGGGCCTGCATTTTGCATGGTGGCTCAGGCATTGGTATGCCAATGCAGCCACCCTCTTGGCCCCCTCGGTCGAGTATTGATCTTCGAGCCTCGGGTCCAGTATCCTGTCAAGTTTATGTGGATCTTTCAGGTATGGCTTTGCCCATTCCACCAAGTTCTGCTCCCTGTTTGGCCTCTTTTTGTCCACAGCTCGTTTCCCGGTTATCAACTCTAGTAGAACTACCCCGTAGCTGTACACATCGCTCATAGGTGTCAAATGACCTAAAATCCAGTAAAATTAGAAAGTGTTAGTCTCCATTATTCGATGGAAACCCGCCTTGCGACTTTGATATCTAAATCAGCATAAGTTGTCATAGCTGATTGACACAATTAAGAAAGTCAATAGAGAGTGGAACTTGTAATTGTGGTTTTAGTGACATCCTTAATTAGCTTTTAAGGATTAAGGAAATTTACCGGTCATGAGATACTCTGGTGCAGCATAGCCATGGGTGCCCATGATACGAGTTGTGACGTGGGTGTTATCCCCTTCCGGACCGTCCTTAGCTAGCCCAAAGTCGGAAAGCTTGGCAGTGTAATCCTGAAAATTGTAAATCGTCCCCCATTACAATGAATCCCACACATCATCATAGTAAAAAACATTGTTACAAATGTCCTGGAATTCCTCGTACCGAGTCCAGCAGGATGTTTGAAGCCTTGAAGTCCCGATATATCACCGGCTGTTCTTCCCCGTGGAGAAAAGCCAACCCCTTGGCGGCGCCGACGGCAATCTTGATCCTTGTCAGCCATGGCAGGCAAGCAGAACACCCTGCAGATATCAGAGAACCAGTAAGTTAAAGCTTATATTATCAGACATTGCAGATCAGAACCAGTTAATGTTGTTTCTCACTTCCGAATAAATGGTTTTCTAGGCTGCCTCTTGTCATGTACTCGTAAACCAGCAGCCTATCTTCATCTTCCCAACAATATCCGATCAACTTCACCAGATGTGGGTGTTTCAGTTGAGCAAGGATTATGACTTCAACCTGAACAAAAACATTAGAACAATCAAGAAAACATGGAAACCTCAACTAAAACAAAGTTGTTAGGTGGAAAGAATGGATGTTTAATTCTTACCAGCCATTCTCGGTGACCTTGAGTTCCTTCCAAATCAAGCCGCTTAACAGCGACGGTCTGAGCTTCTAACCCGGGCCGGCTCTTGTCAACAACGAACCCTTTGTGGACCGGCCCGAACCCTCCTTCCCCGAGAAAATTCGCCGCCGAGAAGTCGCCGGTGATCACTTTCAGCTCCGACAGTGTGAAGATATGCAGGTTTGAACCTATAACAGAATTGGAGGACAGATCGTTGGCAGATAATGGCGAGCCGGGATCGCTCAGATCGGAAACCGCCAGCCTGTGGCGGCCGGAAGGCTGTTGAGAATCTTGAGTTCTTGATTCGATGGCGGGATAATGATTCCTGGCCTTGAAGCAACTGGGGATTATATGATTCATAACAAGCTTGAGAGTCATATTTTTTGGTTCTTGATTGATTGATAAACTTGAATGTATGTAATTAAACAAAAACTGATCAAAACTGGTGAGGTTCCTTGTCAGAGATGGGACCAACAAGGAAATTTTGAAAGTGAACAAGGCTGCTGATTTTCAAGCAATATCATTCCAATATATACACACGCAGAGAGAATGCATACATGTATATGTATATACTATACGTATGAATACGTGTATGTGTAGTTGTGTACTGAGTATAAAGTCTTTCTACACGGTTCTTGACTTGACTTTGAAATGGAGCACGTGTAGAAAACTATATGCATATATATACTATGAAATATTACAACTTAGTTGAAGCTTCTATCCATAATAATAAAAAAAATTCTTATGAATTTATTATTATATGTATTATTCTAATTGGATATATTATTATAGGCATGATTGCAGTAGACATTAGGCACTAGTCTGGTGGTAGAGTAGCACCTAAACGGCGTAGGTGATCAACTAAAAAAAAAAAAAGAAAAAAAGTGCATGTGTAGGTGAATATATGTCATATATATATATATGCATATATATATATATATATATATATATATATATAATTAACAAGGCCGAGTCAGTCAAATTAACCCGGCTAATCAATTGAACTCCCCTACTGATCGGGAGGGAGGATTTTAATTTGGCAATAATCAAATAAATAATGTAAATTATACTAGCTAAAAAAATCATAAATGTGTAACGAATTTGACCTAAAAGGTATTGATGGGCTTAACATAGACTATAAGATATAGGTAAGAATCAAATAAGTAAGATAAATCACATTAGAAATAAAATAATATGCTCTATTCATCTTTTTACTTGAAACAATTTAAAAGTTTTGGGGATCTTGTTACTCGACACTTGTGCGCGGCAGCTCGCTCGACCAAAAAAAGGGTGAATAATATATAAAAACTATTGCTAAACACATTTTTAGTGTACTTTGTCTGGATTCCACTTTTTATGATGATCTTGTTTTTTGTTATCTTTAATAATGTCCCTACCATCTATAATCATCCTTATGTGTAATGATGTGTCGCGTTTCAGGCCACTACCATGTAGGAGATTTTGAAAATGGAGAATGGTAAAAAGGTAATTAAGGAAAATGGAATTTTGTTTTCAGGTAATAATAGCTATAAGCTATGCATTATAATAATATTTAAATTTTTAATTGAAGTAGTAAAACATGTATTTTCTGGGGTTTGGATATTTGAGATTATTGTGCTGGATGGATGCATGAGTTGATAAAAAATACTTGATGAAATTAAAGATAATAAATCCGACATCGTTCACAATTACTTTCTCAACTTACCACAAAAGGTCAATATCCATTTAGAAGATCAGACTCATTTTGTGCCACTAAATCACAAAATCATTGGCATAAAAAATTTATTTTTATTAATATAATAATAATAATAATAACATTTAAAAGCCCAAAAACAACTTTTTAAAATTAATTAATTAATTCATTATTTATTTATTTATTTAGATTTCAATTCATATTTATTACCAAACAAAGTGACTCATTGTACTTAAACTCATTACCATTATCAAATATTTGAGTTCCATTACTATTTCGATTCTAATGTTCGAACCAAACACCCTTTACTATAGTGATATTTTTTGTTCCTTGCATCCTTAACATACTAAAACTCTATTTTACTGTCTAATTTAATTATTTTATTTTGAACTAGTTAGTTCTGAAATCACACTTCACCCAAATAAATCTTGTATGTTTTATCATATCAAATTTTTTTTTCCCAGTGTTTGGACTATGACACCATGCATTCTTCGTGTAGAGTTTGTCAATGCAACCTGTTGAAAAATATAATGAAGAAAATGGTGACACTACATTTTGGAATATTTATCAGAGATTTCTTTGGCGGAATCATCATGCATATGAAAAACAACAATCACAAAAAGGCGAAATCCAAACCGCTTCCATACTTCCATATCAGCACACAACAATTTAATACATTATCTTACTCAAGAAGTTTTATTATTCTGACTCATAAAGTACAATATTTTAACTCATAAAATACATTATCTTACTCTAGAACATTCATTAGTCCATTAACTGAAAAACAAATTTTTATTTTTATTTGTTTTGGATCGTGATCCACCCAATTATGTGGATCATAATAATTTGCGGATCTAGATTGGTCGAGACTTTTTTTTTTTTTTTTTTTTTTTTTTGGAAATAGATTGGTCGAGACTAAGAAGTCCTCTTTGAAAAATCCGACATTTAGCAACTGAAATAATTTTTAAATAAAAATAATCTCTTTATTACAAAACATTAACCACAAAAAGTCTAGGTTTGTTTTTTGATCGGCTATAGCCTATATGTATGCGTACATATAATTATTACGACATATTTCCGCCAAATTTGAAAGAAGGTAGCTAGGGGTGAAGATCGAAGAGAAATGATGGTAGTTTTTAGCCACTTGATCAAAATACTAATTATTAGTGGGTGGATAAGATGTATAATTTTCATTAGATTGACTATATATATATACGTGCAATTTGAATTCTATTATCTTGGTTTGATTAAGTGGAAAATCTTTTATAGATTGCATCCGCAGGATGCCTATTTAGAATGTTTCTCAGGTTGAAAAGAAGCCATGGAAATCAATGAATAAATAAAACCTAGTCCAAAAATATAATAACATAATTAATAACAACGCATTATCAAAATAAACATGACTCGATAAATACAAAAAAAAAAAAAAAAAAAAAAAAAAAAAACTAAAAACTAAAAACTAAAAAAAAAAAACCTAAAATATAATAATCCGTGCATAAAAATGTGTCATCACTTTCTCCCAAAAAAAAAAGTACAGTGTTGTTCTGAGAGTGACGACTAAGTGGGTGAAACATAATTTTCATATTAGAAGATCAGATTACGAGTTCAATTATTGTTAATGTCCTCTCAGTCAAGCTCATTGCACGGTGTCTTCTTAACTAGTGTGATTTATTTATCTTATGTAGTTTGTGTGTTACTACATATGAGCAAGGTTTACTCCGAATAAGTTTAGCACTTTTTGGGGAAGTTTCACAAAAGTAAACATTGAACCCCCCCCAAAAAAAAGGTTTATTAAGAAACTAAATTGTCCAATTGCAGTATTGTGAAGTTGAATGATATGATGATGTTTATTATGTTCCTACGGGGGAGCTGATCGAGAAACCACCATAGAGATTATACGGAGATTGATTCAAGCTTCGTCCGAGTCAACTCGCCGAATATGAAGCTTTTCGTTCACATTTTGGATGAATATATGGTATCGTTTTAGTGAGAATATATATTACCACAATAATAAATGTACTAATTAATACATGCTTGACATAGCGTGTGTGATATAAATAGTTTGGTTGATCTTCATTCAAAATGATATCTTGTACTCACTTCAGTACATACATTTCAATCACTTATTGTACTTAATTGTCCAGAATTTCTTCACTGACTAATTAGTATCTGATATATAAGCACTTGCTCTACTTCATTGTTCGCATCGATCGTAGCAAACTCTCTAAACTCTGGTCTAATTTATGCTATATATCAATCGCTATACAAAGATGATTGATAACTAGTTAGGCAGAGAAACGTTTTATATTACACGTTTATAGAGAGTATAATTAATTTTCTAGCGAGCACTTTCCTACTCCTTGACCATAAAGATTTGTGGGTACCCTCCCCTTCCTTCCCCTCTTTTGTGACTATTGAGTAAGTTGAGACCATATAGGATAATTAAGTGTCCCTTGTAGGTTCAAATTCAACCATTTAGGTATGTTCTAGCTTGTGGAAGAATCTCTGATCTGTGGGAGATCAGACGTACCACGTTAAAAAGGCAACACGACAAAGGTACTGTGGAAGAACATGGCATAAGATGAAGTTGATTCCCATGGAAAGGACCTACAAGCTAGAATCCAAATATGTCACAATAATTGCTATGAATACACACCGCGTATATACTATTGCTTTCTCTCCGGTCTAGCCCATGATAGATGTGAAAATTTTCCATTGTCAAAGAGGACTGAAATCACACCAAAATGAAACAGTAGTGACTGTGCCCAATGACTTCAAAATTCTCCATGCCAAGTGCTGCAAGAAAAATGCTAGCTAGGGGTGTGAAATGAAAAATATTTTACATCTATTTCCCATTTGATTGGGCGAAACATAATAAAAGAGGGGAAAAAATCTCTTTCATAAGTTAAGAAATAATATCTACTTTGAGTTTTGCCCGTCTTTACCCAAAAAAAAAAAAAAGGCTATGTCTGCCCTTATGAGGTGGTAGATGCTAATTTTTTTTACTCTTGTTTTTGGTCAACTAACAGAGCCAACCTAGTCCTCGATCAAGTGGCAAACTCCATATCCTTGACCCCCTACCTTTGGTCAAGTGATGATAGGTGTACGCCAAATCTTAGACACCTATCCTCGGCCTAGTGACAAGTACAAGAACACTTAGAGGGACAGAAGTCGAGATGATAATAAGAGTTTTCTTCAAAAGCTATCTTCGGCAAGTGTCCTTAGTCAAACAATTCAAATCTTGACGAATCTTGCCTGCATCTAGTATAATGTTTGTGGGCAAGTCTAATGCTTGTAATTTCATTACTTTGATCGTTAAGTATTAATGATTAAAAATAATTTTTATTGAATGTCCATGATGGTATAAAAATCACCAAATACAATAAAGAGGCAGAGACACGTTGTTCTAATTCAAACAACAAAATTGAATCTATGAATCAAGTATTTCACAAGTATTATATTCTCTCTATAAGTACTTATTCTCACAAGAAAATCTCTAATACACATTTTTTGAATTTATGTTAAATTACTCCCAATAAAACCAACAACATATAAAAACTTTTTTTTTTTATGGAGTCATTAAAATTGAATTACCTATACCAAATTAGTGCAACTTTTATTTTATTTATTTGTATCTAGTAATAATTATGTAGGGAAAATGTGGTGTTGCCAATCTGAAATAAACCTCCGTCAATACCTACCAACTTTAATTTAATGAATTATTTTCAATTATATTTACAATATATTCTCTTCATTTGATTGGCATTGACTCGCCGCCTGCTTTCTTGGAAATTCACCCATTCCTACGGCAACCGGCATGAACCACTCAAGTGTCAAACCATATTCCTATTCGCATAAATTATTTCTAATGCAATTTATTTCTCTTTATCTTTTTTTTTCTTCTAAATTTTATTTTACAGGCTATTACATATGAATGGAGATTATCTAGTGCACACTATGAAAGAAAAAATGAAAAAGTAATACTCAATAATATTATTGATAATATGTTGTTACGATCCCCATAATATTTGTCTAGTGATTGAATAAGAAGTCTCATTTAAGACTTATTTTCAGTGGCAAGATGAGAGTTTGATCTAGGGATGGCAATTTCAATCCGACCCGTGAATATCCACCCGAATCCACCTCGCATGGATCGAGTTTTTTTGGGTGATGGTGGGTGGTGGGTCGGGGGTGGGTCTTAAAAAATCAAACCCGCGGTGGGTCGGGTTGGATTCGGGTTCTATGTACAAGACCCGCCTAGAACCCCACCCGACCCACCATATGCGTGTGTATATATATATAATAGTAAAATAAGTACTAGTATGTAGTTATTTATAAAAGTTTATATAACTTCGTGTATCTTTTTACTATTTTTTATATCAAAACTACTAATTTTATTTTAAAAAATTAACAATTTAGTTATTATATTTAAATATTTCAATTATTTATGTTTTAGTATCACTAATGAATTTTATTTTTTTATTATGTGTAAATAATTTAAATATTATTTTTTAAAAAACATAATAAGATGATAAGTGGTGGGTACCCGTAGTGGGCACCCGCACCCGGTGGGGGTGGGGGTGGGTTCTGAAAAAGTCCACCCGATGCGGGTTGGAGGTGGGGGTGGGTGGAGAAAATATAAGGTGGGTCGGGTGATGGATGTAGCCCTCCCCGACCCACACCCGACCCATTGCCATCCCTAGTTTGATCCTACAAGAAACATTAGGGTTTGGGGTTGGATTGAGCTCTTTATGAGTACGTATAAGTGTATAATTCAGTGTTGCGTCTCGAAACTAGATTTATCTCATCATGAGCATGGGGTTTGTGTAGCGGATTCATGGGGTTTAGGATATAGTCCAAGTTAATAGAGCAATGATTCATTAAAAATTTAATACTTGCTAACATCCTCTAAATTAAACTCGATGTATAAAGTAGCAAGTAAAAGTAAGAACACATATAATTTAGAGTTAATTTCATTTTGTGTCCTAGAATTATAGGTGATAGTTTACTTTTTGTCATTTTTTATTAGAACATCCCCTTTAGTCATAGTATTAGTGTGTCATGATCATTTTTTGTCCTCTATCAACAAAATCATTGAAATGTCGTTAAATACAAGGACATTTCAATATTTTTAATATAAAGTGTATTGACCCGTTATATTTTTTATTTTTATTTTTTTTTTGAAAAAATTCATAATTAAAAACCGAAATGTCTCTATATCTAACGTCATTTAAACTGTTTTGTTGATAGAGGGTCAAAATAATCATGCCACAATAATACTAAGACCAAAGAAAAATACTTTTTGAAAAGCTAAGGGACTGGACTGTCACTTATAAATTCAAGATAAAAAAAATGAAATTAACTATATAATTTATCATAGAGTAAAGATAAAATAAAATACCTTAGCTTCACTTGTCATATTCCACTCAAGACTTTTTCTTTTCTCTTCTTAATTTCTCCATTTCATATTGAATTATGTTTTTTTTTTCATATTCTAATATTATTCAATCACGAAAGCTTTCAATTTGTAACGAAGAATGCAACTGGTATTATTATTACTTATTATTAAAAACTAAACCTTTTATATATGTGAACACACAATTACAATAAATTTTAGATGATCATAAATTTTGTAATTTCTACAACTTTTTGTCCTTTTCTCAATGCAACAAGGGGAAAAAAAAAAACAATGAAAAGATTGATAGCACAACAAAACAACAATATATAGTATCAACCAAGAGAAAATTTTAGATATTGTGTCATCTTTTTATCTAATAATTAATTACTTTGAAAATCTATGCACAAAAATAAAAGTTATTACTGTGTCAAAACCTAATCATCCAAATTTGAAATGAGAGCTTTGGTTGGTTTAATTTGAAAATTTTGCATATTCTAAATTCACTAAAATCCCAATCCACAAGTTTACATGTCACATCAACATCAACCGGTCCAAAACATCACAACACACATATTATGTTTTATCAAAATTGAAATCAAATTTTCTTAATAAGAACTATTTCAAGTCCATCCACTAAATGGGAGAAAAATATACATGGAAGATTCAAATAGATGAGATAGGATTAGATATCCTATAATACTACGTCAACATTCGTTCTTGTGTAATAGCTCAACCGAGACTCCAAGAAAGTATTAGCAATAATTAAACTCATAACTTTCTAGTACAAGAAGTATGTTCTACCTACTTGGTCACCCTTTTCAGGACAAATTTAATGTAGCAATGTATTATTAATTGGGTCAAATTTTAATGTGGTATTTCAGAAATATCTACTATTATTTCCCTAGTTAGCTAGGATGTTTGGCAATTAATTACTTTAAACTTTGATGTCATCTTTAATTGTCAAACATAGGAATTGCTGAGCACAAGGTTGTAGCGTGTGCTGCGTTCAAACTCGGCAAATCTTTCTAATCATCATCATATATATGTTGTTTTAACCACCAAATCTGTATATAATTTATTAGTTTGTAGCCAAGAAAGTTTCTTTGATCCCTTTTTGGTTGGTGAAAATTGAGACGAACTAAGTTGAAAGTGCTAAATATTCAACCTTATAGCGTCAAGATTGCGCACAAAATTACTAGGTGTTACGAGGAAAGTGTGGTTACCACAACCTCTTTACACTTTAATTAGGTGTTGTTTTTTCCTCTTTTTTTTTTTTTTTTTGGTTTTTTTCTGTTTGATAGCTTAGATTTTCTTACTTCAAGGTATTATATTTTAGACATCATGAATCCGTCCTACATCCTTAGAGTTAATTTATTTTCGAGACTCAACACTAAATTGTACACTTTTACACATAAGAAGTTCAACCCAAACTCAAACCCTCGTGATAAGAATTGAACCACTGCTTACTGCTAGAAGTAAGTTTTGTATGAGACTTCCCATCCACTAGTAGGGGTGTTTATTTTGTTAATTCAGTTAATAACTGAATCGAATTAATCGAGTTTGAAAAATGTTTTAACCATTAACCAAACTAAAATTCATATTTTTAAATTAACTTAACCAAAACCTATTTTGGTTAACTGAAATATTTTATTCCAATTTAAAAAACTTTAAAATTTATAAATCAAAGTTGTAAATTCATCGTTTCACACCACAAAATAGTCATTACAAGTTACATGAATATATAAATAATAAAATTTGAAACCCATTAATGAATTATAAAAAAAAAAAAAAAAATTAAAACACACACACACATTATGCACACCCAGAATGGCAACTTCAATAGATAAAATTTTTAATGAGTTTTTGTCGGTCCAAGTGGGAGATAGGACTATAGGAGAGAGAGGAAAAAGAGGTTTAAAATTTTTATTTTTTTTTTAAAGTAATAATAATAATAGTGCTAGTTTGGGGGCTTAGGGCCCATGGGCCCTGTGTTGAACCAACAGAGCACAAAATGCTTGGGCCTATGGAAAGGTTGAATCTTCCTACAAATTGCGGGCTTGATGATTGGGCCAATCTCTCTACACCAACTTTGTACTAAATGTTTTATCGTTTTTTTTTTAGAAGAATGTTTTATCGTTGAGTACTTGGAATTGCTATACCATTCATCCTATTTATTTTTTAGAACTATCGGAAAAGTGGAAAACCCTAGTATTTTGCAGAGCTAAATCAAATTATTAGTTTATTAGGGATTATCAATTTAGTTAATCTACAGACATGTTTAATTTCAAATAGGTGAAATTCTTGAAGTTTTACCTCGATTGTTGTAACTTTTTTAGTATTTTTCAAAAATAATTTTATGTAATTTGAATTATGTTATTTTTAAATATTCGAATCTAATTTACATATTGATATAAGATAATAATTGTGAAAAGGAAATAATATTTATTATAAAAAAATAAAAAAGACTTTTGAAAAATGAGTTTGAATTGCATGGATATAGGAAAAAGAAAGTGAGAGGATATTGCAGGAATAAACCTGGCCTAATAATATTAGTGAATTGCTTGGATACAAATAATATATTTTGCTATGAGATATTATATTATGATAAGTAGAGCCGACTTTGAGGTCACAAATTCAATTCCCAACTAGGGACAACCTATTAGCCTATCAATTGAACCGATTAACTAGCGGGTTTGTCTATACTAGTTTATTTTTTTTTAAAAAAATAATTGTGAGTTATGTTCTCGATGACGATTTAATTTTATCCTATGCACATTCAAACATCCTTAGATCTACGGATATTTTCATAAAACAAAGAGTAGAGCAAAAGTAATTCTAATAAGCACGCAAACTTGAGAAAACGTGCATACATAAATGGAAAAACCTGGAAAGGTGTTAACGTCAAGAGAGAGCGACACTAAACAAGAAAGTTGATTATGGGTGCCTGCAAAAACGCCCATCAATTTATGCATCATTATATTGTCCAATTTTGCTTGCTACAGTTCATCGTTCATCCATCTTTATGCTTAACTTGCACGTCTCGCAAACCATTGGTCCTACGTTATTGCCTGTTGGTCCATATCGCCATACGCCTCCACGTGCCGCCCAGCCAACATTCGTAGATGACACAAATATTTCATTTTTTTCAATATTAACGTTTACTTATTAAATAAAAAGAAAATTATAGTAAAAAGCACAAATAATTAGGTTGAGTTTGGAATGAGAGTGAGAGATGAGAGTAGAAAAACAAATTAAAGGCCAATATAATTGAGCTACGTGCCGGGCTGGGCTAGAATTCGAGTTTCTGATTTGGCACTACGTACAGCATTATATTTGATCTGCATATATAGTACGCCAACGCACAACGTTGACAACAACAACGTAAAACTCTGACTCAACCAACGAACCACGACTAAAATGCAGAAAACAACAACGTATGAACGTAGCCGGCAGCTGCGTAGAAATAGGCTATAATTGAATTGGCGTTCCAAAATTCACTATTCACATGAACAAGTCTTCTAAACGTCCTATTCACAAGCCGGCGGTGATGGCGGATTGGACCTTGGGGAATGAATCTATTTGAATCTTTAAATAATCTACCATCCTGGCATGGTTAATCGAATCAGCATTTTTTTTACTATAACTACTTTTTGAAAGTATATACAGATTAAACGACTTTAATTAGTAAATAATTAAGGTATACCAATTCAATTTAGATTCATAGTAACAGTCGAATTTATAACTTTATGATTATTAAGTCAGACTCAATTAGCTGATTGTATACTATGTTTTGGGACAAGTGGTTGTGTGGGTGTGGATTTTTATTGGGCCTAGCGGAGAAGATGCATGGAGGGGAAATGAGAGTGGTCTAGTGGATTCGGAATGGTCCCATGAATCTACACTTGTCGTGTCGGAATTAGAAGAAGAATCTTTTGGTTATGTGAATCCAATCCGATGGAATTGAAGCCATCCGATCCGCACCATCCAATATAATGGTCAGAGGCTCAGAGCAGCGGAGAACACACATTTGTTTAGGTATTGCCTTACGTTGCCACTGTTGACCACGTGTTCACTTGTCGCTTGTCCTAAGCGCGACACGATCCAAACCTCTCCTTCCACTTGTAGGTACGTTCTTTGCTTGATCCTTCTCCATTTTTCTTTACAAATGTGGACTGACATAAATACCCTTCTCATCTCATCGGATTTCCAATTCAACCAATCCAGTAAAGTTGGTCAAAGAGTTATTTTGATAATCACAAAGTCTCAAATTTAACTTTTTATGAAAATTAAAATTCTTAGCTTTCTTGATTGAATTATTCATAACAACTTATGCTAGATTATCTTTTTATAGCCTTTTCATAGGTTAGTTTAAATTAGCCAGAACAATCTAAACGGTTTTACATCCTTATGATTCTTTGTTAGCTAAAGACATATTTCATCCGAAACATACATTTTTTATTAGAAAAAACCAATGTTTTTGTCCTTTAATTATTTCGCAACTGTTAAGGTAGTTCTTAGTTTATAATTTGAACTAAGTTAATCCTTGAATTGTTTAAAATTTCGTCAATTAAATTTTTCCGGTACTGTTTCGTCATTAAGCCGCTTATGACCCCGTTTTTGGATGGGCATTTTAGTCTTTTTCTATCACTTCCCTTTTCCGGTGAGAAGCTAGTGGCGGTGGCTAATCCGAAGTCATAACAATTTAATGACGAAACAGTGTCAAAATGATTTAATTGACGAACTGTTGAACAATTTGAAAATTAAATTATTTCAAATTGAAAAATAAGAACTACATTAACAATTGTAAAATAAATGAGTGATCAAAACATTTATTATTATTATTATTATTATTATTATTATATTTTGCATGATGAATAATAAATATATTGTTAACGTCATTTAAGGGTGAACTACAATAAAGTGGAGGTATATTTTCTGTAATGGACATTAAATCTACAAATGCTATAAAGTGGAGGGAAGTCAGGGAACATTATTATTATTATTTTACTTTAAACAATGCAACTTATACGGAGTATAATTTTGGACACAATTTAGGGCAGATACATTATTGATTATTTCCTATAGCATATTAATTATGCAAGTGATGATGTAACGTTCTTTACTTTATATTAGTCCAGATCTACTTATAAAATTATTCATTGTTCGTTCCATTGTGTAAGCATCACATTCTCTATTTTTATTCTCACTTTATTATTATATTAATAAGCTAAGAATGATATATATATATATATATATATATATATATATATATATATATGTGTGTGTGTGTGTGTGTGTGTGTGTGTGTGTGTGTGTTACCATAACAAACAAATATAAGTAATATATGATATCAAAAGAGGTGAGTAAATGGATAGAATATTACTCTCATATTTGAAAGGTCATGAGTTTAATTATTGTCAATATTCGATAAAATTTATAAATTTAATTCTTATCAATATTTTATTAATGAAATTTAACTGTACATCTTTGAGTAATATGTAAGTCTGTCATATATAAGATGTTAATTAAGCAATGCATAAGTCAACTTAACTTTGATTTATTTATATAATGATTACACACTAAAAATATCGTCCAATTGTCTTAATGCATAATGATAAAACACTCGTCAGCAAAGCACCCTTTATTCTTATCCAAACGCTGTTTGGTTACTTTATTTGGTTTATTTTATTTATAGATCGCATTCAAGATAAGAGTTGCGTACAAATTTTTTAATCAAAATAAGTAATAAATCCAATACAAGATAACTTATTAATATATGTTGGCTCCAGCTAAATGTAAGTTTACATTTAATAATCTGTACTATTAACACGGTATGTATTTTTGTCGGTCCACATATAAATTTTTAAAAAGAAAATTGTAATTTATATCTCTTTTTAATATATTAATGGTTAATGTTATTTCTGAATTATTAGTAATGTAAATATTGTCTTTCAATTTTTAATACGATACATATATTATCTTTCCTGTAGAATAAATGTCGCTCTTACGGTATATATATTGCCCTTCTCGTACAGTACGAGAGGACAATATATATATACCGTTTTAAAAATTGAGTGAACAATATTTACACCACTAATAATTCAAAAGTAATATTGACATTTGATTTATTATGGAGGAACATAAATTACAATATTTTTTTTGTAAATTATAATTTTGATACCAGAACATCACAAATATAAATAATATAAAATATAAAATATCTTTAATTGTCAAATAGGATTTCCTCGTTACCCTGGCTTGAACAAAACCGCGTCCTTGTTGGCCAGAACATTTTCCGTTATTTCAGGTATTTGTCGAGGCTATTATCGTCATTTCACAGTCGCTTCAGCCGGTCTTGAACAAGTGCTGATATAATACGAGAGAGATTAGCGTGGTAAAATTTGATAGAATATGAGAGCAATAATTATCGACCAGAAGAAGGAAGAAACGAAATCCCTTTAAAATTCGTCGAATTTACAACAATATTTTTCCACTCCGATTAATCAGCTTTGGAATTTCAATTTCATTTCCTCTTTTTTAGGTTCAAAAAAGTCAAACAATTCTCTCAGATCTGAACAAATTCGGCTATTTATTCCGCAATTCACTTTTTGAATTTGCAGGCTGTGATTTTCTTTTGTCTGAATTTTCTTCACGTTTGAAACGTGGAATTGGCAATTCCTTTTTCCTGCATATAAGCATCAGAATCTAGGGTTTCCTTGGGTTGTGATACAGTTGGGGGATTGGATTGCCTTTGATTATTTTTGTGTGAAAGTTGATCTGATCCTCGGTTGGGTGAAGCAATGGCGGTTCCGACGATAGCACTGTACGCGAGCCCGCCGAGCAGTGTGTATTCGACGCCGTACTCTTGTCAGATCAACTCGCACGCCTCCCACGACTTCGATTTCAACAGCAGATCGTCGTCGTCGGCGTCGACGACGACGTCTTCGTCGCAGAAGCCTGCCGTTGGCGGGTTGTCGTGTTTGTTCTCCACGCAGTCGGTGAAGCACGCCTCGTCTTCCTCCAGTTTTTCTAGCGGGACTGAGGATTTGGGGTCGTTGTGGCATGATAGAGGCGAGGAATTGAGCAGCTCGTTTCGGGGTTCGTCTCTGAGCTCATCGTTGAAGCGAGATCAGGGCCATCACAGCCCTATGACTGTGCTTCAAGGTCCGGGGAGTAGTAATGGTAGTGGTGGGATTGGAGCGTGTTCTAGAAGTCCTTCCAAGAGAATTGGCGGGGATTTCTATTCGTCTCGATCGGGAAGTGGTGGGTTGTTTAATGGGTTCGTTAGACACGCACTGGGCTCGTGCGTGGACTACGATCCGGTGAACTTACATTTGCGGGATTCGGATTCTGCTCCTCCTGGCCTGCTAGATGAACTCACGTTTAATATAGACGATGGTTTTGGGGATTCGAAGCTTGAGCCTTATGCTAAAGATTTGCTTTTGGATGCACAAGCAAGGCATAAGATATTTCATGACGATCTTGTGGTTAAGGCTTTCTGCGAGGCTGAGAATGCTCATAGAGGCCAGGTGTGTGTGCTTGCTTTTGTATAGGATTTTGATTCAAGATTTTACCTTTTGAATATATCAAGAATTGCTATTGTTTATGTATGCAGATGCGAGCCAGCGGGGATCCTTATTTGCAGCATTGCGTGGAGACTGCCGTCTTGCTAGCAACTATTGGAGCTAACTCAACAGTCGTTGCTGCCGGTCTTCTACATGACACACTTGATGATACATTCGTTACATACGACTATATTTCCTTGTCATTTGGAGCTGGGGTTGCTGATTTGGTTGAAGGGGTATGAAGACTAACTTTGTGAATTCTGTGTTTCTGTACATTGGATAATTGAGAATGTGATTTGCCTATGCATATCTTAATCTACTGATATGTGGACACTCTATAAGGTTATATTGTGAGAAAAAAAAAAAGGATTTTGATGATGGTTAGGTCATTGATTCCGTAACCTGTGATTGGTTGGTGACTTTTGATTGCTTATAGGTGTAATAATGTAAATATAATATCTGTTCATATTATTCTGATTGGACTATTTGGTTATGATTTAATGGCAACTTGCTTGATATTAATTTCTGGTTTCTTCAGGTGTCAAAGCTTAGTCATTTGAGCAAGCTTGCACGTGAGAATGACACCGCAAATAAAATTGTTGAGGCTGATCGATTGCATACAATGTTCCTTGCAATGGCAGATGCCAGGGCTGTTCTAATAAAGTTGGCTGATCGGCTGCATAATATGATGACCTTGGATTCTCTACCTATGATCAAGCAGCAAAGGTTTGCCAAGGAAACATTGGAAATATTTGCTCCGCTGGCCAATCGTTTAGGTATCTCAACTTGGAAGGAGCAGCTCGAGAATCTTTGTTTCAAGTACCTTAATCCTGTCCAGCACAAGGAACTAACTTCAAAACTCGTGACATCCTTTGATGAGGCCATGGTTACTTCTGCTGTTGAGAAATTAGAACGAGCGCTGAAGGATGAATCCATATCTTATCATTCTCTCTCAGGGAGGCACAAAAGCTTGTACAGCATCCATCGCAAAATGTCAAAGTATATTATCTCTTTCTTATATATTCTTATAACAAAGACATTTATGCATTGATTCATTATAGATGTTGCTTTAAATCATTCTATTTGAGGTATTAATGTCTGTCTTGTATTGTTCAGAAAGAAGCTCAACATGGATGAAATCCACGATATTCATGGCTTGAGGATAATTGTTGAAAATGAGGAAGATTGTTATAAAGCAGCAACAGTTGTCCACCAGCTATGGCCTGAAGTTCCTGGAAAGTTCAAGGACTATATTCTGCATCCCAAGTTCAATGGGTAATTAAGCAATATATTATTGTGAAGATGTGTCTTTTTTAATTTATGATATTAAACTTTATAATCCTAATTTATGTTGAATTTGAAGGTATCAATCCCTGCATACGGTAGTTACACGAGAAGGCATGGTACCGCTTGAAGTTCAGATTAGGACAAAAGAGATGCACTTGCAAGCAGAGTTCGGTTTTGCAGCTCATTGGAGATACAAGGAGGGTGATTGCAAACATTCTTCCTTTGTGCTTCAGATGGTCGAGTGGGCACGTTGGGTCATAACCTGGCATTGTGAAGCAATGAGCAAGGACCAGCCATCCATTAGCCATTCCGACTCCATCAAGCCACCATGCAAGTTTCCTTCTCACTCCGAGGATTGCCCGTTTTCTTGTATACCCGAGTGTGGGGCTGACGGACCAGTTTATGTGATCATGATTGAGAACGACAAGGTTTGCTTTTGATGTTTTCACTACATTTTGTTACTTACACGTTATCTCTACATTCAAAGTAGAACTAATTGAAGCATGTGCTCCATCTCAACTAAAAGCCTAAGCTGATAGTTGGATTGCACATTAATGGCTATATGCTCAACAGAACTCAACCTAAAATGTCGAGACTATTAATCTTGTAATTTTGCACTGATGTTTTCAAGTAACTCTTGTTTTGGCAGATGTCAGTACAAGAGCTTGCTGCACATTCGACAGTCATGGACCTGTTGGAGAAAGCTGGGCGTGGGAGTTCTCGATGGATCCCTTATGGATTTCCAGTAAAGGAAGAATTAAGGCCACGGTTGAACCATAGTCCAATTATAGATCCCACCTGCAAGCTGAAAATGGGAGATGTGATAGAACTCACTCCAGCCATTCCCGACAAATCCCTAACAGAATACAGGGAAGAGATCCAACGTATGTATGACAGAGGTCCGAATGTAGCGACTAGCACAACCATGGCTGGCTTAAGAAGCTGACCATGGATTCATTGTTTTACCCACATTTGTTCATTGAAAAATTTGAAGTTGTAGCCAGATATTCATGTATATAAACCATAAACTATTTGTACAGAACAGCAGATCTGTTATTATGCTAACTGGATTTGGGAATGTTCTTGTTCAATTCATGCACTGTATATGAAGCTTTTCTTTCTTAAATCTTTTGCTTTTCCAGTTTTTATGTGAGCCGTTGGATGAGCAGGATATATGCACAAGAAGCTATCACTTGTTAACAAGATTTTGCTTTTATTGCTTTTGTAGGAAGGTATAAACTGAAACTAGAAAGAAGAATACAGAGGAGGAGCTTCGTCCATTTCTATGTCCAGAAGTAATGCTGCACAGAAGACTGCCATGAAAGCACACATATGAGCATGATCAAGATCCCTGCAAGTCCCCACGAGGAGCTCCCGATTCTAAACACCGACGAAGAATCCGGTGACAGGAAAACCGATGATGCCCGTGTCATGCTCTGGACGGATGAGGCTGTCTTGATGGCAACTATCAGTCCTACGAGCACCGCAGGTAACACTAGTCCACCGGAGCTCCACCTTGTCTCGGCTTTTCCCCGGTCCGTGTACAATGGAGAAAGCACCACTGCAGAAACCATGGCCAAAACCATTGCCACCCCTCTCTGGGAAGAATTGCTGTGTGCATATGAATCGTAGGTTGCCATTGTTGAAGGTATCAAGGATTCAAGTGTTGGTTTTCTTGGACTGTTTCTAAAGAATGAAAGCTGATACTTAGGGATGACAGTATTGACACTAACACGGGCATTTATAGAGGGGTGAAAGATGAGGTGGAAAAGGAATCTAGGTGGAAAGCATGGGGTTAGATGACAAAAGTCTGTTAACAGCCGCCCAAAAAGCAAAAAAAAAAAAAAAAAAAAAAAAAAAAAAAAATTAATGGGGCATAACTCATATTGCGTGTACAAATTTTGGGGCATAACTCCTGTCACTTGTATAAATTTTATTGGATAAATAAAAATGAATGAACAAAAATAGTAGTTTATTTTGTTATTTAAATCAATCAATCAAAGGATGACATCTTAGTAAGGAGTTAAAAATGAAATAGAAAGTGGGAATAATGTAATATTATTCAAAACAAAAAGAAAGAAAAAGTCACACCTGACAATCACGAGTGCAGAGTTTGATTCATACTAAAAGCAGTATAAAATTAATCTTGTTATGAAACTAATATTCAAACACTTTAAAAAACTTATAGATTATTGAGATGAATCTTTCAATTTAATTCTTTTATCAAAATTTTAACAAAAATAACTTGAATTTTTAAGATTGGAGTGCAATTCTTTTGAAAAGGAAAAGTTGGATCATACGTTGGAGAAAGAGCCGGAGAGAAGGATAAAAAAGAAGGGTAATAAAGGTGATGTTTAGACTCAAAGGAAGCAAGGTATCATCACAGTGTCTGGTTTCCATGATTGCTCCATTAAGAAAATTCCAGAAAGTTTAATATTTTAACTTTGCCAAAATGAACATGTTGACACCTGATTGGGTTTATGTTTTGTTCTAGCAGTATATTACCTTTGAAAAAGCAAATGGGAGTTAGCTGTTTCCTGATATTGCCGTTATTGCTCTGAAGCTGTAAAGCAACTAAGTATCTATATGCATAGATAACAAGATTCATTTTTGAATTTAATCAAATTGATCAGACAATTGCCTTGATAATTACAATATTTTAAATTTGATTCTCTGTGAAAGTTATCAATTGGCCTTCTTAATTACAATTTAGATTAATTTACTTTTTATGATTCTTTGATACCTAAGGAACGTTTGGTTCAGGTAATCTTAGATTATGTCAGTAATGTGATTTTGATAATATTATATTATCTTGTGTCGCGTTGGCCGAGTTTAGTTTCCGTTAGATTCGAGATCTGACACTGTGGCTTATCATGGGGGATGTGGTTGAATGCCTGCATGGACAGTTCAATTGGTCATATGGATGAAGTTTGGGAAGAATCAGACTGTAGTTAAATGGGTAATGTCCACCTACTTATATGATAACCACATAGTTAAAGAATTCTATGGTTAAGCGTGCCGGGCTTAGATCCAACACCTTGTTTGGATTATCTTGAAATATTCCAAAGTAATCTTATTACGTTCTTGGAGGTAATCTTACATTCTTACTACTGGGGATAATTCAAGATTCCTTGAAAAAAAAAAAAAAAAAAACTAAACTAGATTCATTAAAAAAGTGAACTTTGTAACAATGACTTGGAAATGTGTATCCAATTCTACAAAAATTATACTAGGAAGGTGATAGATAACAAAGATGAACTCTGTAAAAGCTAGTGGCAAATTTCATGCATTCAGATTCGTCTTCCACAGTGAACAGAAGGATACAGGCTGCCCTTTCCACCATAAACAAACACAATCATCCTTCTCTTCCACCTTCATCTCCCATTTGCTTTCATGGTGCTTCTTTAACCACGCCCGCGCTGTGTAAATTGCATCTTCTGCAAATGCTTGGCCTACAAACCCAACACTCATCATTCTCTGGCACCATTTCTCCCACATTTGTCAATGCCTTTGCTGCTTCTCCTTCCATCATCCTTCTTTCTTCATTTTCACGTCCTCTATACGCCGCGCTTGTGGAGTCCAGGAACCTCCACAAGTACTCCACCCTCCTGGAGAATCCATTGACAAAGTCCCCGCAATGGCTGCAGCTACAATCTGCATTGTTCTCGCTCAAAACGACGCCTTTTGGACCCAAACTCCTCAGCCCTCTCAAGAACTCTGACCTGTCATCTTGGGAGTGGTGGCTCAAAACCACGTCACTTTCTTGTTTCCCGGTTTCCTAACCGGAGCCCTTTGTTACACACCTCCTTCCCCATCACCACCTGCTGCTTTTCGCTTCTTTGACGAATCCAACGCCTCTAGGCCTTGGAAACAAGGCACGTTAGCCTGCACGGGTAGCTCAGTTGGTTCTTGGATGACAGATTGTGGACAAATAAACTGCAAGTTATCATTGTTGTTGATGATCTGATCTTGTTGGCCTAGACTTGGAATGGACCAAGATTCATCGTACAAAATGTCTAGGAACAATGGATCATAGGATAAAGAATCTCCGAACCAATCTAGTATTTGATCATTGGAGGGGGGATTTGGGTCTGGATCAATAGTCATTGCAGGATGAAGAGAGTTAAAGCTTGATGATTAATAATATGGTTTGCTATTATGTTTATAGTGGCAAAACAATAGGATTTGAGCACTAGTCTAGTAGTCTTTTTCAAAACAGACATAAGGCGGCATATGTTAAGGTCATTGCTTTACTGTTTTTTTTTTTGGAGTTCTTGATGTTTCATTTACACTTTCTTTATTAACCTTCCATGAAATGGGAGTTTAGATTCCATTTTATGGTTTGACTTGTTCCTTGGTGTGGATTGGGTTGGGTCTAGTTTGATATTGCGAGAGACGGATATATATATATATATATATATATATAGTTCTCACATTGCTTTCATTGTTGTCATTGGGTGTAGTTTGCCATTTAAACATTCAAGTTGGTCAGGCTATTGGCCTGGAAATCACAATATTTCAAATTTAACTGTCAATGAGACTAACGTATTGGTCTGACCTGAACCGATCAACTATGGGCAATCGAACAAGCTAATCCTTATGTGGACCAGAATGCAGAAGCACATGGAGGGGTGATTTTTGGAGAAAGGGGAAAAAGAGGAAGAAGAAGATAAGGTTGACAGCTAGAAGTATGATGCCAAAAGGGGTTAAATGCTATAAATTCAATGCACAGCAAGCTGGAAATGGAAAAGAATCTGTGGACTGGGGAAACTGGGTTTTGGGTCAGTTTTTCATTCATACATGTTCACTTGTAGATGTAATGTAATCAGCTACACAAATATATTGCCTTATATTATATAGTAGGGTATTACATATAGATTTGGTGATAACACTTCTCCAACAACATTAAATACTTAGGACTTCATGTCTCACCCACCAAGCAATCGAAAAGGCAAATGTCTTCCTGCTCCTCTCCAAAACAACCCCCAAGTCAGATCAGATTTGATCTCATCTACAACTTTGTTTATCTCACCTACAATGTCAAAAGCCACAACCATAAGTTCCCAAGCTTGGAATAAACGTACTACAAATTCGTGCAAGGAGCAAAAATAAGCGAACGGGCTCAACTGAATTTCATGCCCTGGTTATCACAAAGAGGACGACTTCCACTAAGCCAATGAACCCTTCTCTAATTAAAGAGAGAGATTCGAATTCCATACAAGACTGTGAGCAGAATCTTAAAACGCTCCACAACTCATAGAACCAGATTCACAACGAGATGAAATAACAGGGAAGCTATTTAGTCATATAGCAAGGAAAAACTCATTATGGAACACGCTACACTAAGGTAGTAAGGAGTTTAATTACAAACGTCTATGGATGATGGTTTCATCCACTTGCGAATACAGTGCTAACCCTTCAATTCAAAAGAAATGATTTTTGTGAACACATGAACGATATCCCACCAAAATCACAAAAGTAGTAGAGTTTTAGAGTTGGTGACATAAATGGAAGTAGTCTGTAATAGGTAAATGAAACAAAAACAGGATATTGCTGCCAAACTATAAATCATTCACTATCATAAATGTTAAAACTATATTCAAAGTACAATCCCAATGGATAGCTTGGTAAGATAAGGAAAACTAATTCTAGTCATAAATCAAGTGGAAGCCAAAAATTGAACAGAGAAATGTAAGTAAGAGCAAACAGGGAAAGAAAGCTGTTGAAGATTTACCAATTTACATGAGCGACAACAACAGATGTGGAGGCCAAAACTCCAATGGATCGAGGCGTTATGTTATGAATCAATTCATATCCTTACTCATTGCCAAGCCGCTCGTTAAAGAATTTCAATCAGTACAACTCCAGTTAAGTGTAAAACACTCCCACCAAAGAAAGAGACTAAACAGAAAGAAAGAAAGAAAAAAATCTGAACTTTTTTTTTTTTTTCACACGTCTTTATAATCTGCTCTCAGCGGTTAACAATTGTCTCCTCTTGATTACCAAGAATGTTACCACAAACACCTGCAAAAGTGCAGCAATGCCCACAAATAGCAATCCCAGTTTTTTTCCCAAATTCAGTTTCTTTTCCTTTGGTGAATGGCTTGACCTTCCATGTGAAGTATGACTTTTTCCTTTGGCATTGTGTCCTTTATGTGAGCCCTCTCGGGGAGACCGGGCGGAGTGATGGGGAGGGGGGGAGAATTTTCGCGGACGGGAGGTGGGGGAAGGGGGTGGAGGTGGGGTGGGCGAGGTAGGCGGGGGAGGAGGCCGCGGTGGGGGAGGTGAAATTGGAGGTGGAGGAGGAGGAGACAATGGCGGTGGTGGCGGAGATTGAACAGGCGGCGGCGGCGGAGGAGGCGAAACTGGAGGTGGCGGCGGCGGGGACTGTGATCCGGGAGGATTCACATTTTGCTGCGACTGAACGACGATTGCTAGGAAAAAGAAGAAAAAACCGAATTTATTAACGATTGAGGTCAGGAATGGTGAATCCATATACAACAAACACTTGATGTCAAGACGAATAGGGGTGAGGCCGTGATCCCCAGAGGCCTCGCATCTGGATCAGACTCCGATTCACCCTAAACCTAACCCAACCCTCCTTCAACAAACTAGGGTTGGAAAATCTTCTTCAAGGTAACAGAACAGAACCTAGTTCCAGAAATCCGTCCCGATCTCTCCCTGAGAAACAATCAAACGGAACCACAAACTGTCGATCTCTCTCTTCCGCAAACGAACAGAAGGTGACAGCGCGCAACAACTAGGGACTAGGGTTAAGCATTCGCGTCAGAAAATGGGATCATGGCGCCGCGTGCATCCTATGTGATTTCCACAGAATACCGTATACAATATGAAATCCGATACCGGAAAATCATAAAAAATGGATCTTTCTGCTTGCTGCCTTTCCCCTTTTCTTCGTGATCCCCCCGTTTCTCAGAAATGGCTTAGGCGTAAAAGATAGAGAAAATGGGGGAACGAAGGCGGGGGAGAGAGAGAGAGAGAAAGAGAGAGAAGAGAAGAGAAGAGAAAAGGCGAAGTCGTCAAAAGAGTGACAAAAACAATGTAAGGCAACGGCGGGGGATTCAACGGTTGGTCCAATACGGACAATCAAAATCAATCAACGGTGAATTCCACCAAATTATTTTTCCTTTTTTTGTTCTTCTCTTTTATTTATTTTTTAAATTTACAGTTGAAGTAATTGGAGTTGTTTTACAAATTATACATATATTTATTACTATGTGTTTAAAAGAGTAATTCATACTCAATGATCTTGTGACCAAATGTCATGAAGTGGAGCATCAATGGGGGCTTGGGCGATATTAACTTTTTGTACTTCCAGTAGATTGAGAAAGTAGATATTGACAGATACTATATTGTAATAGAGTAAGAACAATTGATAAGACGGTCAAAAAGTTATTAGAACGAATTGTAATTAGCACAATTTATCATCATTTGAATCACACTAGTTTCAATAAGAATCCAATACGAATTTAATCACGTTATCATCATGATGACTATTTTAACATTATCATTTCCTCAAACGTAGATTATCATTTTTTCCACTATTAGTCCTTAAAACTTGATTTTTTTTTAACTACGTTTAACCCTTTCAGAATGTTTTCCAACTAAAGACTACCTAAAAACTAAACTTACCAAAAAAAATTAATTCATATGATGTTTGGGTAAAAAAACTTACCGGAAAACCAAAAACACTAAAAAGAAAAATGACTAATAGTGTAAACAATAATAGTTAAGAACTATAAATGAAAGTGTTATAAATGTCAAAAGATTAAAATTGAGAATCACCAACTTATTTAGATGTCACGATCTAATAGTTCTTTTGTGTGGCGAGAAAACTCCACAGTCACAATCAAATAGTGCGCAATAAGTAAACCTCACTCTTGTATAATAACTCATAAACCACATTAAGACAAATTCAACTGTCAGAATGTTGTGAATAATTGAATTCATTACCTTTTAAGTAGAATCACAACTTTTATAGTTGAGTTGCATACCCATTAAGGCAATAAATAAGAAGATGGTTTCCCCAATTCAGAAATGAATGTTATTTTTGTAAAAATAATTGATAGTATACCGACATGCATGCATGATTTGAAATAGAGATTTGCAGGCCAGATTGGAGATTGGAGATTGGAGAATGTGAATAATTAAAGGAAATAAAATCTAAGACGTGCAAAGTTGTTCCTCGTGGATCAGAGATACCCCATGCTACAGATGTTGTACTCATGATCAGACAGTACTGTATACATCTGCAGACTTCAGTAGATCACAAGTGCTAACCTTACCTTTTCTATATTTTATCAAACTAACTCCCTGGATAAAGTCAAACACTACATTATTCCCCACAAGGGAATCCAAGATCTCTGTACAATAAATTAATTATTATGGTTTTCACACAAGTAGTGTTTGGTGTTCTTTTAACTATGAGATCCTAATATAAGTTTACTGCTTAATTTGGGATTGAAATCATAATCAATGGATTAAGGTTATAATTCTGATAGAAATGAGCTTGTTTGCAAGAATTAGATTCGTGATTTTAAGATACAAAACTTATGTTTTACTAATTTAGCCATCCATTTTTGGGCAGGTAACCTCTTTTTGTGTGTTAATTTGGTTGAGAAATTTACCTGTGGTTTGGAATAGGCTTTTGGCCCGTTTTATGTTGCTTTGCTTGGACTATAACATATGGACCACTCCTTATCTGGGTTAGCTTACATTTAAAGACAATGACTAGGCCACATACGAGGCCTAACAACTGTAGATTGGCCCACATTTCAACCCAGCCTCGGACCTAACCTATGGCGATAGGGTAACAAGTCAATTTTGGGGTCTACTCGCTCATATGTAGGGGTGACCAAATTACATGTTTATTCCAATTAAATTGAAGGGGTGACCAAATTAGATGTTTAATTAAATTGATCGAACAGTTAATTTGATAGCAATAAACTTTTAAATTTAACCCTGTACAAGTTATCTAGCGATTTAGATGGTTAAAATCATAAGATGATATTATTCAGAATGCATTTTCCTGTAAAATTTTCTGACTATCTTTTTTATAGTTCTTTGAAGATTCATCTTTTTTTATAGTTCTTTGCTTACTAAATTACGACAATAAACTTAACAACTGTAAACTTTTCCAAATGAGGCACTCTTTAGAATACTTGGTTGTAAGATTCTATCATAATTTAACCCATTCTTGAACTCTTCTCTACCTTCTCTCTTTCACTTTCCCTTCTTTAACATTAGGAAATGGTTTCTTCTTCTTCTTAAGTTTACACAGAAACCTACAACTATACATCTGTCACTGAACTAAGTTCCTTCTTTCAATCCTTCACTCATTCAACAATGCAAACATGGGTGCTGGGTGAACAATACTAGGATTATTATCACCTTCATTGTTGCCATCCTCGTACTGGGAAGGACCTTGCAACGCGTAGTAACCCCGCGAACAATCCATATCTCCCCCCGAAGCCGAGCTTTCGCCAGCTAGGATGGGTTGAGAAGAAGCAGCAGAAGGGGATGCACCAGAGCTAAACTCGTCGAGGGGATTAGCTGGATTTCCATGACCCGAGGATCGCTTAGCAAGGTCTCCACCAATGAGGGTTGTGCTCGAGCAAATGCGCTTAACATCGTACCTAGTAATATCAAAATTGGTCACTGCACTTGTTCCTCTGAACTTTATCGCTGCAATGTCGTAGGCCTCTGCAGCCTCTTCTTGTGTGCCTAACCACATGGCAGTGTTATGAAGATTCATAGAGGGACAAGAACAAAAACTATGATATTGGCAAGTTTAATGAATCTCAACAACATAACTGAAAAACATTGATTGGTATTAGACCAGAAAACGCTAAACTTGTAACTTTGTGGTTACCAAGTCAAGAAACAGCCTGACCATATTTAATTAGGTTGTAATGTCTGGAAAAACCATATGTCAATGTCAGCATATATCTTAAATGAGGCATGGCTGATGAGTGGTCGATAACGAATTCAACGAATGCATGGTAGGTAGGGGTTATAAAGTCGATTTGCTGTAAATGAGGTAAACAACAGACATATACAAAGGACAATAATATCTGAAAAATGACTGAAGAAGGGTTGTAGACAGTAAAAAAATGAAAGAGGACTCAAGGACAGAAAGCTAGCTAGCTTACTAAAGGTGCCAAGGTACAAGTCCTTGTTCCCAGCAACTCTCCCTATTCGAGCTTGCCACCTCCCGTGCTGATGATGCCTGTAAGCCGGTTTTCAAAAGCATTCATCACAACCAAAAAAAAAAAAAAAAAAAAAAAGGTATGTAATTATTGAGGACCATAATTGCTAAAGCAGACGATAATTTTTTTTTTTGAAAGCTACTGACTCTATTACATTGTAGTATCTGTTCATTTCATTAAAGCAGATGATAATACAATTGAATTCAATCATGAAAGCGGGATGGGCAAACCTTGTGACTCCCCTGTACACAGAGGCTCCCCTCGAGAACCCACTGCTTTTCCTGTTTAACACAAAAACAGCAATGCAAAACATCATAAGCTGACATTTTGTCCTAACCATGTTTGGTGCTTTTTCATGTAATAAAAAAAAAAAAAAAAAGGAAATTGAAGGAATATATATTCACCTTCGTAAGTGTGCAACATACTCTTGCCTAGACATGTTTTTCATCTCCTCCAGCTCTTTCTCATACATGCTTATCTAAGATTTAACAAAGAATATTTAAACTAATCAGATAATTAAGCATTAACAGGGGTAAATTATAAATTATAAATATGATGGGCTTATAAAGGAGCTTATAAAGGAACTTACAGGAAAGTTGATATGAGTAGTTGGACCCCAGTACTTGAGAGCAGCTAGATCATAAGCTTTTGCTGCTTTTTCCTCCGTGTCATAACCCCCTGGGATTATCATTATTCTTATAAAAGAGCATATATACTATATACGTAACGAAGTTCCTTGTGTGTTTTCAAGACAAGAATAAAGTTTTTTTTTTTTAACCTAGATAGACTTGTCTTCCTTTTCTGGTTTGTCCTTCCTTTCTGCAACTGTTGTCCCACAGATGAGCTTCGTATCTCCCAGTCCACCTGTGTCTGAATGGAACAATATAATAAAACATCACGTCAGCAAAAATGAAGAAAATTAGAAAAAGTGATGAAATTTGGGAATGAAGTAACCTGGTAACACCACGGTACTGGGAAGTTCTTTGGCCGAAGGTGTCAATGGATTTTCGCGGGGCGGCGGGTGGTGTCTTCTTGGCGTCGGAAACCGCGGGTTCCGGGTGAGAATAAGTAGAAGGGGTGACGGCGAGGGAAAGAGGTTGAAACGGCGGCGGCGGCGGCGGCGGCGTTTGTCTGAGCCAAGATTTCAGGCCGGAAATGGAAGTAGAAGAAGTTGCAGCAGGCGAGGGGGAGGGGGAGGGGGCGTTATCGAACAGGAAAGGGTACATGGCGGCGGGGTTGTTGGAAGGGTGTGGGTAGTGGAAAGGAAGCGGCGGCGCGGCCGTGGGTGGGAATGAGCTGAGGTGTTCTCCGGTGGGGATTTCAGGAGGAGGAGTGTAACAGCTGCCAAGAAAATCTTCCAGCTTTGGAGTCTCCACCATGTTTTTCTCGTACCTCCTCCAATCTACAGTACGTACAGAACATAAACACCAAACCAAAGATATATAATAAAAATGAATGGAGTGTGAAAAGAGAGAGGCACCTTGGTCGAAAAAGCCATGAGAAGGGAAAGACATGAGATTAGCTAAACACCCACCTTCTCCTTCTACGTCTCCTTGTTGCCCAACGTTGTTTGTAGCTGTTGTTTCTTCTTCTTCTTTTTCTTCATTTCCTGGAAAATCTTGATTACCATCATCATCTTGAACGACAGAGAATCCCAACCAACTATTCATTTTTTATTTTTTATTTCTTTTTTTAAAGAGAATCCCAGGGGTGCTACGTATGAGCTCAAAGTTCAAAGCTGGGGAGAGGCAAAGAACAAACAAAAGACAGAGAGAGAGAGAAAGAGAGGAGTAAATGATATGCTGCAGAATCTAAGGATTTTATCGTTTAGTGGGGAGGAGAGTTTGGTTTCAGGACTGGGGGGTTGCAGGAGGCGGTAGCAGCACCACCCTGTTTTCTGTTCTGTTCTCTTCTGTTCTCTGTTTTAATAATAATAATAATAATAATAATAATAGGGATGTAATAATAATAATAATAATAATAGGGGTGCAAATGTGTCGAGCAGTTCGTAAATCGCTCGATTAAAATTTAGCTTGAGCTCGGTTAACTTTAAATTTAAGTTGAACTCGAGCCAACTCGTTACATAATCGAGCTCCAGCTTGAATTTGAATCTATCTATTATTTATTATTATTTAAACTTGGCTCAGTTTGTTTACACCTCTAACTAATACGGAGTAATAACGTGGGAATAGGGCGGGGTGAAGAAGGGCCTCGGTTTTCGTTACTCCCTCTTTCATTTCGTAGTTAATAGTTATGGCATTGGCAGACTGTGGGGGTGGCCTTTAGATAGAGTCATTTGAGTTTATCTGTACACAACCAACATTTTAACTTTTAATTATGCGCGGCCAGCTGTAAAAGATATTCAAACTTTTAATTATCTCACATGGGTAAATATTGCGACTTATTTTAAATTACTAATAGGCTAAAATTACTTAAATAATATTTCAAAAATAAATTACTAACTTCTTAATTTTTTTTCATATTTTATCATTATTATTTTAAATAAATGACATCATTTATTTTTCTTAGTTAAAATCCTTTTTAATTTTTTACATTTATGAATTTATCAAAAAATTAATTTTACCAAACACTTTTAAATATTTACATTTATAAGCTTATCAAACTGTTAATTTTACCAAATACTTAACATAATCAATTAATTAACAGATCTTTAGTTTTTAACTTCTAACTTATAATTTTTCAACTTTCAACTACATTTCTAACTAGATTTGTCAAATATAGCCATATGCCTATAGCTCCTTCCTTTTAGTAATTATTTAGCATCCAAAACAATGGAAACCAACATCGCCTCGCCACTCTGCTCAGCAACATTTGACAACTAAAATGCCTTTCCAGAATAAAGCAACAACTGCAGTGGAATGAACAAGTCAGATTATCAAACTAACTTGGGAAAGCTGGTGAATTCTCCATCTTCACATTGGTGGTTTATACAAAAGTTTAAGCCGAATGGCGAAATGAGGGGGGAAGGAGAAATAGGGAACTTTGCAAACCTTTCAAATTATGAAATTCCAAACACAAATACAGAGCTATGAATCTATGACACTGTCAATGATCAACAGCTTTCATCATTCCATTAGTATGTGCAGTTATGCAATGTAAGATGAGAGGAATTGACTTAACTAAGCAGACAGTTTGAATGAGAACCGATATACTTGTCATACACATTCACAAATAAAATGGGATTGAGGGACTGTACAAAGGCAGGCGTTAATCTACTTGTATATCAGACCCAGAGCGCCAAACCACTGCTCATACTTAGCCCCATGCCATGGAGCATGCATAGTTCACCACCAGCTTCCCATCAAAACCAAAGTTCTGCAATGTATGAGACAGAATTAAATTACACAATACATGCTGAATGATGAGCTCACATACAAGTAAATGCACATCATAATGTATCCAGGGATAAAACTTGTTCGTTTCTTCTATCTAGCATTAACTTTCCTGGGGAGAGGTGGGCAGATGGGGGTCTTGCAGACATCAAGCCAAGGAGTTTGAAAAGCATAAACAATAACCAACTAAACTTACATTATATAGGTCATTTATCAACTCATCTGGATTTGGTGAGAAGGCACTGTTGACATACACAAACTGGAGAGACAATATTAGGCAATTACTTGATTTACATTTATCAAAACAGTTATAATGGCAACAATAAAAGAAAGTACCAGCGTCTCCCTGTGCAGTTGCCGGCACAGAAAATCAATTACTTTAGCGAACTTGTCATTCCCACCAATCTGGGCATAAAAAGAAATTCAGGCGTTAAACAAAAATATCATTATTGATATCTAATACCATGAGATAATTTGATCTGAGCATTATCTGCAGAACCTAAAATAAAAAGTAAGAAAGAGATTTGACGTCTTTTCCATTCAAATCACCTTAATTACTTAATAGATATCCTACTCTCTTCTACTCTTTTTATTTTTTTCCTTTCTCTTATAAAGAAACTACACATGCTAAGCATATTTTAGTAAATGCAAACGGAAAGAAGTGTGAGGATTAGGCTCAAACATGACAGCAGTCAAATATTTTTAACTTTCACACGAACTATTGAAAACACCTCTGTTGGCCATTAACATATGACTATGAAGCACAAGCAATCATAAGTATTGTCTTCCAGTTCACATACCCCAGAATCCAGATCCCCTTTGACAGCTTGGTAGCAACAATTTAAATGGTCTCAACTCAAAAGTATCAAGAGGTTACACAAATGATAAGAGTATAACACTTAAGACCCAAATGTAATTAATCTTCTGGTGTTCCGGAAGAAACAAAAACTGAATCCAAGCGTCTTCACTCTTCACCGTTTTAAAAAAAAAATTCAAAAAAAAAAAAAAAAAAACAACAAATCACTATGTAAACACATCTATGTGCACGAAAGTTCGTCTAGGGATTTGGAGATATTGAAAGAACCACTCTGAACCTTTCTGATCAAATCAAGGACAAGAGCACAAACCTTGAATTTAGACTGTTTGAGGATAGGAGCATCACCAGTAGCTCTCAAATGAACAATCACTACCAAAACAAAACATTACGAAATCGAAACTCGCTATCAGCATTGCGGCAGGTATCATTAATCAACGCATAGATTTTAAGATAATATCACACAGTTAAGCAAATTTAATCAACAAAACGATCAAGGATTGAGCTTAAACATCTTTACTAACCTTTACGAGATTCCGTAGTCATGGATTTATCCCACTCGCAGAAAAAAAATCCAGAGCTTTACGAGCCTTGTTGCATACTCTATTTTCCGAGGTTTGAGCTTCCTTCTTCGTGCAAGGCTCCGGGAGTGTTTAAATCGGATCCGGTCTGTTGGTTGAACCTGGCGTAATAATCCCTTTTAATAGTTTTATACGATATTTCTTATACTCCGTATTTTATTGTATTTTTATTGTATTGTGTATTTCTTTGTTTTTAAATTTAAAAATAAAAAACTTGATACGGAATATACTAGTACGACCGGACGTATTTGTATGATACCAGTCTCGGTTACTTTCGACCACTATTAGCTGTATTGTCTGACCAGAGTTCTCGATCTTGATGTGCACCCGATTAATTCTCTCATATACTCCGATACTTGTGCCACACTCGTCTCTCCGAACCATACTAGACCGGAAACCTTGTTAGCCTAACTGGACACTGAGTTTTCTTCTTCCTAACAACCATAAAGGTTTTACCTGACTGAAACGACTAGGCATGTTACATCCTTTCACATCTCATCACCATTTTTCAGCCATCTTAAATACTTGCATAATAACTATGATAGTCTAACCCACATTCAACATGTGTCTAACATGTCGGCATCTTGACATGTTTTACCCGCCTCGCCTATAAAATGCGCATTAATTGCTAATGGGAGGACTTTGAACCCTTTTCATACTCTCGAATACATTTGACCACGTCACCTAAGAAAACCATGTACATCACTTAGAAACTAATTACTTTCGAGTCTTCCAACTGTAACCCCTAATGGGGTATTCAAGCAGATATATAATTGGTGCAACCCATCATAATTGGTCAGACACTCCATAAAAAAAGAGCCTAATGATTTTCTTGAGGTCACAACTCACAAAATAAGCTTCATCCAAAATGCATATTCAGATAGCGACTGCATACTTTCTCGTAAATCAAAAGTATATAAGTGAATAAGCTATGTTGGTATTATTATTAGATGGAGGAGACAATAACATTCACTATGAAGTTCAGTGATTGCATTTGTAATATGATACAACAATATACTAGGACACATCAATTCTTTGTACACTCATAGAGGCTGGTTCCCTGATTTCTCCATTAGGTCTGCAAAACACTTCTTCCAATCCAAAACCTTCTCCTTGCCATTAACCACCTGTTGCATAACATCACATTTCAGTAACTCTATGACCTCAACACACACAAAACTTGAAGGAACAAACCAACATTAACATTGAAAGCATATGTTACAGGCGGGGTATCTGGGATCGCCTTCTTTTTTTTTTTTTTTTTTTTTTTTTTTTTGCCTTCCATGTTGATACTCTCAATGAAAGCACCTGCATGGTTTGACCGAGATTAGAACCTGTAATGGCGTGTAAAGAGATCTCTGGATTGCCGGCCACCAACTCCGGAAGAGGATTTTATGAACATTATTTATGACTCCAGCGGTTGACCGCCCAAAAGTCATAAAACCAACAAGTATCAAAGAAGAAGAAGAAGTTTCCTTGCCTTCTTAATAGAATTCTAATCCATTTAAGACTGACCATAACATGCAGATGTAAACCTAGAAGCAATGAACCTAACACGCGAGAATCTATACTAAACAGTTCTTCCCCGGCTTTCCATTACTCCTTGTAGAACTTTGCATAGTTTTCAATTCTCAGACTTTGTTTTTTAGACCCAAGAGTAAAGACTTAGGCAAAATAACACTTCTACAGTACTCGTGTGTAGAGGTGGGAAAATCAAAATTAGCATCATATAATATATGCATTTTCTAGGTTACTAGTCACAAATCTTTTCTAAATCTTCCTTTATGTAAAACCTTGAAAGGAAAAGGTCATTTCCGGGTTCCAATGTTGTCAGAGAATAAGACGGTTATTTCAGGACTTATATCAAGTGAGATCTCAAAATGCAGTGAAGTAGCTAACCTCAAATATAAGTCCTGTTTGTGGTACTGTGTTCAGAGCCTCTACACATATGAAGGCGGCATCTTCCTTGCTAAGACTCCCTCGTCCTGCGCTACCCTGAGATGAAGATAGTTGAGGCAATTAAACCATTACGAACAATGTGTAAACTCCATAAATTGTGCAAATCAACATACCAAATTGCTCAGAACACCAATTGATATATTAAGCACCGGGTTTTGACAATTTAGTTGTGTTTCTTTACCAACTTTAGATTTGGTACACTGCTCATCGAACTGAAGCTTTAAACTAGGAATA